CAGCTTCCCCTCCAGTTGAGGTCAATTAGTATATTTGTCATTGACTTTAAAAGGAGCAAAAGCAGGCCCCAATATTTCAGCACAACCCCTATGCTATTCCAATCACCAATATTTTTCACTGAATTAAGGCCATAGAATTGCAGATGCTATCAAAGCTCTGAACACAGAGAAGATTTTCATGTGGCTGCATCAGCTTGTGCAGTACTTTTCTTGGTAGTTCCGTTCATTTAATTTGAGTTTGTCTTCTGTAATTCATCACTGCCGTTCACCCTCTCATGCCCCTCACTCTTTGGTTTAGCATCTATTTGGCTATCAAATGCAGCTATTTGTTTAAAGTAAATCATTAACTGTGTAACCTGTTTTTTTTTTTTTTTCATGATGGAAAGGCTTTCTAGCACCAGAACGGTCTCTTCAGGTATCTGTATAGCACTTAGCATAACACAGCTCTCATTCTTATTGGGACATTTGGATGCTACCATAATATCTATACGATTAAAATAAATAAAAATGGAAAAACGAAATGTGGGTTCCCATGGATTCCACAACTCCATCCTTTGCTGAATAGTTCTGCTCCAGAACCTGTGTTTTCCTTTGTCCAAAAAGGTTGTTTCCAGAACTTACTGTGGCAAAAAATCATTTTATAAATATGAATGAAGTGTAACTGGTGCAGAATCATACAGCCTGAAACAACAGTATTGAGAGGCATGGACTGTCCCATTCATCTCATTAGCATGTTCATTTTGAAACCTAAAAGGTGAGACTTTAATGGTCAGCACTAACTGCTTCACTGGTTATCTTCAGCAGAAACACCAAGTGTCATTCTCCCACATCTAAATCACCTCCCGTACGTACCAGATGTCAGAACCCAACGTGACCTATTCCCTTGCCAAAATCGCTAGCTCCCTCTGGCCCAGAAGACTTCTACAATTTATTTATGTGTGCTCAACACAGAAACTTGCAGCAGTGACATTTATAAATTTAGGCCAGAGTTGAAAAAACTACTCATTATCATCATCTTCCAAGGACCAGTCCCGCAAACACACTTACACATGCTCAACTTGAAGTCAGTGAGACTAAGTATTTAAAGTTAAACTCATGTTTAAGTGTTGGCAGGATTGATACCTAAACAAACATTACTAGGGATATTGTACTGATTTACACTCGCCATTTTTGCAGAAAGTTCAGTAAAAACTTGTATTTTTTCTTTTTCTGTAGCTGCTATGGAATTTTCGTTCAGCTGCAGTGTGTGCAACAGAAACCAGGGTGGCCTCCTGACAGAATTTATATCCAGTGTGCCACAGATTATCAGGACTTCGGTGCTTGAATTTAGACGTACACAAAAGGTAAAAAAGGATACCTATCCCCATTGAGCTGGCGACCCTAGATGTAGGTTAGTGCCCTCAAAGGGCAGCAGTACAACTCTACATTATCAGCAAGCCAGGCAACTTAAAAACTTAAATCTCCATTCCTCTCTCCTGCCGACAATTCCCCCCAAATGCTTGGTACAAAGATTAGTTTTGCAGCATACCCTGAAGGTCATCAGGCTGGGGCTATTTAAGAGTAAGGGGAATGTATGTTTTTCACCATTGCCTAAACAAAAAAAAGTGAATGGTTTCTATTCAAGTTTTCAGAAATAAAAAAAATAAAATAAAATGAAGTAAAATTCACTCCCAGGTTGACACCAAGTATGAAAAATTTAAGCCAAAATTATGAAAAATTCAAAGTCTATGAGCTACTGAAAATAGAGGTTTCTAATGGAAGATCTGCTGCAACCCTACCCTCGTTGTTTTCTGTCACACTGACATTATAACACACATCCCATTACTCAATGAGATGAATAGCTGCTATTAGGGCTTTCAGTCAAAGTGTTTCAAGATTTACATGTTAGTCCTAAATCCACAGCACCATGCTAATTCCAAATCTTTACATGCAATTATCATCAGATAATAGATCAAAATGATTATTCAACTGGCTTCTGCATCATCCCAGTGTTTTAAAGGGACACTGCTACCCTTAAAAAGAAAAAAAAGCAGGATTCAGCAATTCATGTAAGTATACTGAACTCTTCTAAATTGTTCATTACCATTTTCACCACTGAGTGCGATGCAATGGAATTATTATTTCATACTGAAGTATCAGACACAGTCCTTTGTAATGCATAGCAGACACCATTGATTTTTTTAAAATTTGATTCTTCAGTTATAGTAGACCAAGTTACTGTGTTCAGTCCCTTTACATATCAAAATGGAAAAATACTGTGACTATCACAGAAACTCAATTATTTGCAAAGGCAATTGTGAATGACAATAATGTTTTTTGTATTGGCACTTTTTATTTATTTTTTTGCATTCATGCTCTTCACTTCTATTTATTGCATTGTATAAAGTGTACATCCTTTATTTTCCTTTCTTTCAACCAAAACCTAATGTTTGGGACTCAACTACATGACAGTGCTGTCCCTTTAAATACAGTATTTACACCAGATGAGAATGTTTCCAGTTATGCTTCATGCTGTGATCAGTTTGCATGGAGAAAGAACTCCCACCAAAAATTAGTAAACCAACAAGACACAAAGAGGATTTTTTTCCACTGGTTAAAATCTTATTAGGATGAGTCTGCCTCGGAGAATCAACAACCAGAGAGAGACACCAGATGATGAGGACTTGTGATTAAAGGGCCTAATCCTATGTTCTTTAAATCAACATAAAGATTGGCATTGGCTTTCAAAGGCTTTGGATCAGTCCCTAAAGGAATAATTTTAAATATGGTGTGATTTAAAAAAAAAACTATATTAGAACATATTTCTATAGGATTAAGCTAACAATATTCCTCTGCAGAACTCATAGGCAAACCCGTTCTTGGGTCACTGCCCATAAGGCTCTTGGGAGTGCCAAACCTCAATGAGTGAGTCACAGTCCACATTAACTTAAGTATTTTCCCTGACCAAACAACAATTTGATTTCTCTTTTCAATGCGCCTCCTCCTGTGCTTTCTCTACACCTGACTCTTTCTAACGTCTGCTTGCTCGCTCTGATAAATGAAGGCTTAAATTCTGGAAAAGGCCTCATAAGAGACCCAGTACAATGGGCTCTTTAGGATTTGTTTCGCAAAAGCAACTTCTAAACAAGGGCTTAAAGACACTATTGGAACAAGAAAGTGTTAGCTAAAATAGAAAGTTACTTTCTAGCTCTGTGTTAAGATGAGCTATTTCTTCAGAAGTTGATGTTCATTAGCAGCAACCATTACACTTATTAATCCAACCCTGGGATTCTTGACCAGACTGCATTCTCCCACAACCTGCTTCCAGGTTGTGGGAGAAAAAACACAAGTTACAAGACAGAGAACATGGTACAAATAATAGAGGTGCCTTTTAAAGGAACAATCCAAGTCTAATCTACCTACAGTACAAAAAAGTGCCTTTTAGATGTCACACTGAAAGCCATTTGAGAGGCATATAATTTAGAGTGATACAGAAGGTATTAAAAGAGGATTAACACTTGTTGGGATCATTTGAATGTAAAACAATAACCAGATTGTCCTCTAAGCTCTCAGCTGTCTCACATAAAAGCCCCTCTCTGATCTGTGGAAACAACTGAAAGGTTTGGGAAATACATATTTTGTGTGCTCTAAATGACAGAAGGCTGGAAGGCTTGGCTACAGGTGGCTTCCAGTAATTTAATGTGATCAGGGAAAAAATATCTAGTCTTGATAAGCACAGCAATGAGCAATGAGATACAATGGCAGTGGCAACTCTAATGAAGGTCCAGCCGAACCCCAGTAAAGTCTGGAAAGACTCCCACTGGCTTTAGAAGATGCTGGCTGAGGCCCTAAATACTGAAGATAGAATCATCATAGAACCATAGAAATGTAGGACTGTGGGACTTTGAGAGGTCTTGAAGTCCAGCCCCCTGAGTTGAGGCAGGACCAAGTAAACCTAGACCATCCATGACAGGCATTTGTCCCACCTGTTCTCAAAAGAACCTCCAATGATCCTTATAGGTAAAAAGTTGATCCTAATATCTAACTGAAATCTCCCTTGCTGTAGATTAAGCCCATTACTTTTTGTCCTGCCTTCAGTGGACATGGAGAACAATTAATCAAAGTTATCCTTATAATGGCCCTTAACACATTTGAAGACTTATCAGGTCACCCCCTCAGTCTTTTCTCAAGACTAAACATGCCCAGGTTTTTTAACCTTTCCTCACAGGTCAGGTTTTCTAAAACTTTTATCATTTTTGTTGCTCTCCTCTGGCCTCTCTGCAATCTGTCCACATCTTTCCTAACATATGGCACCCAGAATTGGACACAGTACTCCTGCTGAGGCCTCACCAGTGTCAAGTGGAGTGAGACAACTACCTTCTGTGTCTTACATAGGACACTCCTGGTAATACATCCCAGAGTGATATTTTCTGCAACTGCATCACATTATTGACTCATTATATTTGTGATCCACTGTAACCACCAGATCCTTTTCAGAAGTACCATCACTTAGCCAGTTATTTCCTATTTTGTGGTTGTGCATTTGATTTTTCCTTCCTAAATTAATTATTTTGCACTTATCTTTATTGTCTCTAGCTAAACAGAGAATCTTATTTTGTTTCTGTTCTTCAAACATTCAATTTTTTTATTCTTTTGAACGGAAGTAAACACATACATTAACATAAATACTTAGCTGCATGGCTTCAAAGTACGGTGATCTTAAACCTATGTGGTACACATTTTTTGGAATGACAATATCTAGGGCATGACCTAGATGTACCTAAATCATATACGTACAAAAGTAAATACAGACAAATATAAGCATCAGAGGGGTAGCTGTGTTAGTCTGGATCTGTAAAAGCGGCAAAGAGTCCTGTGGCACCTTATAGACTAACAGACGTATTGGAGCATAAGTTTTCGTGGGTGAATAAGCTTACTGGACGAAGTGGGTATTCGCCCACGAAAGCTCATGCTCTAATACGTCTGTTAGTCTATAAGGTGCCACAGGATCCTTTGCCGCTTAGACAAATACAAGTAGCAAACTGCACCGTCTAATTATCACTGTCTTTGCTGTGCAGGTTGCATTTTATAATGTATTTTTCTTTTTCAAAATGAACTCATTTTAAAGTCTTGTTCAGCTTTTATTCTACAAGTTCCAAGATTTTGCCAAGGAGTGTAATTTTATAATGTAAGTATTATAAATACTTTGCACTTATAAAGCACCTTCTATCTGACAATCACATAGCTGTTTACTAACATTAGGTAAACAAGGCTTAATACTGGAAATGCCAACTCACACTTGCATAAGTTGGAACTGGTCACACGTCCCACTGATTGTGGCATGTGATGCCCGGAGTAAGTGATGTGGCTGGGGCTGGTAATTAGATACTTCCTTTCTCCTTCTCCCCAACCTTCTCCCACCACCCCCACAAATAAAGTATTCCTAACATGATTGGTGACTATGAGCATCCCCCTCCTCCGGAGGGTGCCCTTTGGTGTTCTATTGAAGGAGTGAGAAGCCACAAGCTCTTCCTTCCTGCTATCCCTGCTGCTCAGTTGTGCTGCTGGTGAGAAAGAGGAAAGGAAAAACATCTGCCACAGAGGTTTTTTGTTAAAGTAAATCAAGACCAGAGGAGTTAACTGGTGGACCAAGGGCAATGGCCATGCATGTATCCATTATGCTTTCCCTTGCCCATGTCCTTCCATTGTGATGGCAGGAACAGACCACCTAGATCATCAAGAAGATATTTCAGTGTTAATGCCCATTTGCTCCTTACTTCTCTCAGCTCTGCCTGCAAACATGTCAGTTCTGGTGATGTGGACACTTTTCCACCTAGTAGACTGAGTCTACCCAGGACACTTCACATACGCTACTGAACAGTGATCCTATGGCCACTAACAGCCAAGTCTGAAGTGACAACTGAAACCTAGAAGTGAAATTTATAAATGCCAGAGCTGACCTCTTGAGCCATCCAGTCTCTCAAAGCTATTCTAGCTTTGTGCTAGAATAAAATGGTGATACACAATGAGCTGACTGATCTTATTCGGAAGCCATGTCTTCATTTATGAAGTGAATAGCTGACATTTGTAATTGCCTTCTCTCTCACTAGACTGTATTGGAGAAACATTATATAGTGCAAGGAAGGAGACTCTAGAAAACAACTTTCTTAAAGCTGAAGGACCTATACTGTATCTTTATCTGGGTTTTGGACCAAATTTGCATCTTATGAGTTTCATACTCATCAATTATTTATCTGTTTTTGAAGGAAGCTTTGCATCAAATATTTTTCATACTCATCAATACCTTTTCAACAATTATTTCACCTGTGGCCAACAAAAATTTAGTAAGGATGTTCATCATTTTATTGTTATGACTGTACTAACCAAAGAATTAAATTTACAGCTATGGAGCCACCTTCTGGTAGCAAGGGGGCATTACACCCACATAATATTTCTTTTACAACTTCAAGTCAAATAATAAAAAAAAAAAGCTGTACAGGGTAACAATCAAGATGTGACACAAACCAACCTCATATTATGAGGGAAGGAACTCTATGGGAAAAGACACCAGGGGCATAGGTATATGCATATAAATAGACATATCAGTTTGTGATGGCACTCATTTTTCTCTCTGTGTGGCTGAATAATGAGTCTTGAAAAGAAAATAGATAATGAAAGGGGAAAAAATAGGAAAATACATATTAAGTTTCAGAAAGCCTTATGATTACAATGAACTCATGGGACTGGGTTCTGACACGGGTGTCAACCTGGAGTAATTCCATTTTCTTCTTCTGAGTGTGACCTGGCAACATCTCAAACAGCCCAGGAAGGTTGAACCAGTTCAGGACTTGGACACACTGAATTGCATTCATTGCCTCCAGAGAGAAGTGCTTTAATTCACCCAGTTACAGCAGCATCCAAGTCTTCCTCCATGACTTGCCCAGGCACTTGCATCCTTGGGAAAAAGGTAGCTCACAGTGCCCAGGACAAAGTTCCTGGGAGCTGAAGGCAGAGCATCCTTGGTTTAAGAAGTTTGGCTATTGAAATAGCTACATGAAAGGATTGTCTAAACCAGAGTCTGACCACCTTCAAGGCAGACAACAAGATCCCAAGTCTCTGAGGAAGCTTTTCTACTATAAATGGCAAAATGATGATCAAAACTACAATTACTCCTCAAGCAGAACTTCCTTTAACGGGGGAGGGGAGAAGAGCAGAAGACTGCATGAAGACCAGCACAGATATTGCTAGGCAGATTTATGTCACAGGGAAGCTCTTCTATATGGCAGTGATGGGTGCTATGGAAAACCCTGTAATAGTTAGGATTGGGTCAAAAACCTCCAAGGAAAACCCAGGGAGGTACCAGAAATGAAGTTAGTTACAAAGATGGTATTCTTCCCTCTAAGCCTTGGAGATAACAACATCTTTTGGGATCATTTATTAAAACCAAGGTAGTGACCACTGGCAGCCACGGAAAGTTCTTTGCTAATTTTTTACTAAGCTTGCAGCTGTGTCCCAGCTGCATTCCAACGTGGGTTATTTGCCTTTCTATATTTTCCCTAGAGTTGTAAGTGGATGACATTTTTCTTCATTTTTTGTCGTGAACTTTATGTAAACGGTGCTGTGCAGTTAGTTATCTGCTATGTTTTACATTTCAGATGCATTTCAGTGGTGGAAAAGCTGATCCCTATTCTGTGCATGTGAAGTTTGTAAAGTTCTTTGTAAAGAAAAGTGCTTGCTATAACCCTCAGATATTTAACTAAAAATGGACAAACACAATAGCATACTCACGTCTGAGATTTTAAAGGGAACAGTTTCTTAATTTCTTTTTCCTATCAAATAACTCAGTCATTTAAAGCTATGAGGAATACAACAGCATTTGTAAACTCCATGACACTCATATACCACTTCTATTGCAGAAAGTGCTGCATATCCCATCACGAAACCAGCACATTATTTTCAACTTTACCATGTCTGAATTTAGCTCTTTGTGAAACACACACTTTATCATGATGGCATTTCCTTACATTAATTGTACTGCTTCCAGTTGAAGCCTGACTTTGTACATGTCTGAAAATTGTTTGCAATATTAAAAGATATTTAGCAAATACAAAAAGTTAAACCAGTTCTCAGCAGGATTCTCCCTGCTCACATTTACAACTGTGGAGTGAAAAATAAAGAACCTTGTTCCTTTTTTCTTTACTGAGATCAATATATTTGATATATAAATATACTTCAGAAAATATTTTTATCTTTGAACAATTGTTATTTTCAATAGCTATTGTCCCTGGAAGCAGTCACTGTTTCTATTATTATCCCCTTGGATTGTTATGCATTTCAGTCCTTAGGTCTCCCATTCAAGACGGCTCACTAGATCACCTGACCTCTCCTTGTTCTGGCAGTTTCAAGATATGCAGCCAGGTCTTCTCAGCAGATCATGTCAGAAGGAAACAGCAGCCTCCTTTCATATCAGCCTTTCCAAGTGAGTCCACGTTGGATGTCAGTGATGATATATGTGGACTATTGCCCTACTATAAATGCTCCTGATCTTTAGGTTTAGCATTGACTAACCTCACTGTAGATCAGTATTTGTATCGTAAGAAAGATTATAGTTTTTTTAAAAAAACCCTGTTCACTCATGTGTCAGAAAGCTTCCAAAGTATTACCAAGACTGTGGAGTAATTATGTCTGCCATATGCTTAAAGTGCTCATCATTATAGGCATACTAAAATAAAATGCTTCAACATTTTTTCTAGGCAGATTAATGAAGTGACACATGCATTAATCTACTCCCATTATTAAGACAGCAAATTCCCATCTGATCACCCAATCCAAGCTGAGCACCTGTAATCTCCAATGTGCTGCAGTTAGACTTCAGTCTGTCAGATGAATGCATATCTAAATGGATGAGAAAGCATACACAGGAGTGCTTTGCTTCTGACCTTGTCAGTTTAGAATAGTTAGGATTGGGTCAAAAACCTCCAAGGAAAAACCAGGGAGATACCAGACCTTGTCAGTTTAGAAGTTTGACTTTAAATATGGGTCATTTAGACTGAACTCCAGCAATCTGCATTTTAAAAGGCTTACGCAGTTATGAGATTTAATATTCTTCAGAGATGGCTCAGGGATAGTCCAAGAAACATTACAAATTTTCCAGTTCATGGCAGGATGGGGTAGTTCCATCAGATTCTAGCATGGATGTGTACTTTATTGGAGGTGGTGGCGGCTTGAAAGATGGAGGCCTGTTCATACTAGAATAAAAAAAAAATCTTTGAAAACACAACAGCTAATGATGTAAAAATCAATATAAAGTTATGAGGGAAAATGGGAAGAGATGTAAGGACAAAAGGTCAGAAATAATTTTGGCCTCATTCTTCTCTAACATTCTGTAGGGCTCATGTCTGTTCTCTCACCTACATATTCTACTCTACAGCTCAAAACCATGTTCTGGCATCGATGCAAGCTCTCTTGTGCACAGAGGTGGGGGGCTGGGGACAACACACATCTTTTACAACTTGAAGTGCTATGGTGAAATCCAAAACCTTTGGATAAATAAAGAAGCAAGCTGTTGCTTGCATTGATATCTGGAGACACATTTACAAAGATTTACAGCTGTGCATGGAGATTTACAGGCCTCCATAAAGTGAAAGCCCTGTCCCAAAATGTTAACAATCCAAGGATAAATATAATCTTACTGCAGTTAACTGCAAGTTCAGAATAACCAGGGTACGTTTTAAAGGGGTTTAGTTTGCTATCCCTATATTTCCCCAAACATTTAATAAGGAACTAAGCTCTCTTATGTGGAATGTTAAATTGAAGCATATTGAGCAGTGAATGGGATTAAGCTTCAATTATGTATTTCACACAACTGTATGTCTGTACTTGTTCATTTCTATCCATGTACATGTACATCTACAAAATAAGATAATTATCTGAACTTCATTCTGAAACTTTGGGCTGGAATCTACACTAACATCTCTATTTCTGCTCACCATTTTTTATACTAATACTTACATTTCTTTTTGGTACTGACACCACTTTCTGATTCCTAAAATGATTAGAAAAGAACAAAACAGAAGCAAGAGTGCTACAACCGCAGGCCAGGAGAAGCGAGGATTCTCTGGTTTCCCCACGATGCCTGAAAAAGACATAGAAAAAAGCCATAATTCAAACTCCAGTTCACAAGGAAAAGCAACATCCTGCCAAAAAAACCCAAACAAACAAAAAGGAATTTCTATTTGATTTCATTAAGTAGGAAACTCCCTCACCCACACATCTATACAGCAACCCCAACCTGTGTAGGATTGCCAGCATTTTCAAATTTAGATGCATCAGTTTAAGCACATAAATCCTAATTTAGGCACATAATTAAGGGGTTTCATATCATAGCTGCTGAGATTACAACTCCATTCAAAGTCAACTGAAGCTGCAAATACTCAGCACTTATGAAAAACCAGACTACGATTTGAGTGTTTTCTTCTAAGCACTTACGTTGAAAAAGTTTGGCCTATACTTTTCCCACTGTGTTTTAGAAATGCTATAAGAATGGGAAACCAACATAAACATGTCACTAGGGCTCCTGTCTGCACCAAAGTGCGGAACACAGATCTAGTTTTCCTAAGTTTGCCACATGCCCATTAGAACTGGTTAAAATATTTTGAATAATTTTTAGGCAGAGATGATGTGCTGAACAGATCCTCCATGATGCTAACCACATAGAGATAGCCCTCAGAGAATCCGCTCCAGGTTCATGCATGTTGTGGGTGTTTTAGTTAATTCTACAAGACTTCCAGTGCTGGTGAGTGCATTCAATGAAGCTCTAACTCTTTAACTTAATACTGAGTCTTACTGAGCTAACTGAAGGCGCCATACAACTTAAGGCAACACTAGCATTGCAGAGTTGCCGCTTGAAGCAAAAATTTGGACCTGGCTGGGTACAAGTTATGAAGGATGGCAGCTGGAAAAGCCCTCTTTCACTTACTGTGGGCCAGCGTGCGAACTCATTATTCACCTTGTTGAACAGCTGCTTACCGTGCTAGTCCATTTGAGTCAACTCAACTACTCGTGTGACTGACTGCTCATAGAATGTGCGTGGAAAGTTCACAGCCTGGCCTTCCAACTGCTACTGTAACTCAGCGTTCTTTTTCCTTTAGCCAACAGCAGCAGTAGCTCTGCTCACTGTGCTCTGAGTAGAACTGGCAACCCTAATGGAACTTTTCATTTACAATTTTTTGGAGCACTGGTTTGTATGACGGTTACAAGGGTACAGCATCCTGACATTCCTGCCAGAGATATCACAACCACAAGCTCAACATCATCACATTACCACCAACTAATGAAAAGTACCGCATCGTCATGGATTTGAAATAAATCCGTGATATTTTAGCATGGAAACCATGTTGTCAGTCCACTAGTAAGCAAAGGGGGGGTAAACACCAGTAACACACTGATATGTCTGTGGAATTCTATAGGTGTGTCATGTTGTTAAAAGTTGCAATGCATGACATTTCACACATTAACACCATCTTTCGGTTACAGGGGGCTACCCACAAGTAGCATGCTTAGTATGCTCTTTTGCTAAAGATATGCCAGGATAGAAATACCAAAAGCAGCTGTGATTATCTGCATTGCGGAGACATGAATGGCCATTAGACCTCCATATACAGCCCTGATTTGACTGGGTTTTTTTTTTTTGGTTGGTTTTCTATTACCAGTGCAACTACCTGAGGCTCCGAGGATTACTCCCTCAAGTTCTTGCATACCTACAAATATTTATGAAGGAGAGAGTTGTGAATGATGGCTTACCAGTACCATTAATCAATTCCCTTGTAGTTGATAAACCATCAAGTTTCGTAAATAAAGCTGGATCAACCATTGTGCTGGAGGACAGATTGCCTAAAAAGATATAGACAGACAATGTAAACAGTGTATTTGATTTTACTGAGCATGATGTTTAGAAGTCACTTAACCATATATAAAAAGAAAAGGAGTACTTATGGCACCTTGGAGACTAACAAATTTATTTGAGCATAAGCTTTCATGAGCATCCGATGAAGTGAGCTGTAGCTCATGAAAGCTTATGCTCAAATAAATTTGTTAGTCTCTAAGGTGCCACAAGTACTCCTTTTCTTTTTGTGGATACAGACTAACACGGCCGCTACTAAGAAACCTAACCATATGTAAGGAGGACTTGTGGTATCTTAGAGACTAACAAATTTATTTGAGCATAAGCTTTCGTGAGCTACAGCTCACTTCATCGGATGCATTCAGTGGAAAATACAGTTGGGAGATTTATATACACAGAGAACATGAAACAATGCTGCCACTCTGAAAATTAACCATATATAGTTCAAGAGAGCCTGAAAGAGCTTAAAATCAACTGCCAGAATCTGAGTGCCCACTTTCATTTAAAGGGACAAAGCCAACTTAAGTTTTGACCTAAGATCTAAATTTGATATAAACAAGGGTTTATACAAGGAGTTACAAATGTTAAAAACCTCCACTAAACATTGACTTTAGTCACACAGAACTTCTGGGAGAGAGGTAACCATTTCACCTTCTCTACAGATGGAGAAATTGAATCCAAGAAATATCCAGTGACTTACCAAAAATCACAAAGTGAGTTTGGTAGCCGAGCCAATAATATAACCCCAAGTACTGTGTCACAACTACAAAATCACCTTTCATTGCCTTGTGAACAGTTACATCCCCTTCCCATCCCTGCTAGTTTAGCCAGGCTACACAAATTTGTGATTGGTACTACCTTAGGATTTATTGTCATTTTTCTGGACCTGCCTCCTCAGTTAATCACTATTCCAAAACAATGGATAAACAATTAACCACACAACGGCATGCATTCTAGATCTGCCCAAACACTTACGGTGTGGCAGAGTTACATTCTCCCTGGAGAGCGTTGTATTCACGTTGCTCTGTTGGGCTGCAGTAGTAGGGTCACTCAGTCCTATACAAAAACAATGCATTTTCAGAAGTTACTTTACAAGCCATTACTGCCACATTAGGCTTAGTTGCACTATTTTATGTCCTTTTCTCTTCTGGACTCTGGCAGTAAACAAAATAGCAGACGAGCCTAAAAAACGTAGGTATACTGTCTGGTGCCTAAACCTAATATACTCAAATATAAATTCCATTGTAATACTTAGTTGGCAAAATATGGTTGTTAATTCCACAAGAGCCATATGAACTCCCTGTGGGAGATTAAATAATTGAACAGATAAAAGAAAAAACAATGGCCCTAGCTTTACATGAGACTTCCTGGTTCTCACCAGAACAGAGAAGTCAAAGAATTTTTTTTAATAAGTTAATCAAATAGTGTGCATCTTTTTAAAAATTCAGTTCAAGTTTTAGATGGAAGTTTACACCAGTTCTTATTTTATCCAAACATAGTAAGCACTTAATTACCATGGGCATGAGCATGATATGAAAAAACAGAGATACACATCTACTGGGAAATCTTAATTGCTCTATATAGCAGCTTGAACAGCATTATATATTTATTCTTATTAGTGTTTTCCATTTGTGTTATGGCAGCCCATAGAGAGGACTCAGCTGGGATCATTGTGCTAGACACTATGCAAACTCAGACACTCCCTGCCCTGAAGAGTTGCAATCGAAGTACACAAAAACAAATTAAGAGTAAAAGAATGAAGTATTATTATTATTAAAATGTCACACACACTATAGATAAACAGATGTGGTCAAAAAGGAAAATATTTGATACAACTTGTTTGCATTTTTGTTTTATTTATCCACGGTTTAGCTAAAGCTTTTGTCACTAGGGCTTTATCCTACTCAGGTGTCTCATGAACTCATTGCTTCTCTTTGCTTTGTTTGCGTTCTCCACTAATATATTTAATATGTTATAACTACCCTCTCTGCGTTCTGGTTCTGCTCAAGGACCTACCTTAATTTTAACATTATGCTCAACATTATTTGTAAACATCTTTAGTTTCAGTTTTGGTGCTGAGGAAAGTTCCTGCCCTGACAGGCCTGGAGACTCAAGTCCTGCATATAATGACACATATAGCTTAGACAGAAACAGCTTCCTCTCAACTGCCCTGCCAGTGAGCCACAAACCTGACATGAAACCACTGATCACCATTAGTGGTAAAAGCACAGTTCAGACTCCAAGACCCTTTTAGTGTTTGCCCTCTCTGTTAAGACAAAGCTTGGTCAATTAGTGCCACATGGAGGGCAGGGTGGGGTGGTGGTTTCTGAGATGTGTTGTCCTGTCAACCATAAACTGAAATGTGACTCATTTTGCACAGGCCACCAATGATACCAGATAAGGAAACAATTTATAGTCACAGCTGTCTGGAACTAGATTTAAACCAGTGACTCCACATGGCTTTTGAGACACTCATGCCTTGCCCTTCTGATCCAATACCTCAATACTCCTTATCATCACTACACAGAAACTCTTTAAAATATTAGTTTTAGTCTCTTTTGATGCATATATTTTGTTAGCAAGTAATTTCCCATGTATGCTGTATGAGACCTTCTTCTTTCATGCTGGTGAAGTCCACAGACACCAACCACAGGAGCTTGAGTTGGGATGTGTAAGGTGGTGGTGGAGAGGACTAGGTAAACATGAGGTTTGAGTATTAACTACAAAGATGATCAACCCAATTCCAACTCTGGACTCCTGCCTGTGGCCTAGCGATTACACTTTGGAGTAGTCACGGCAAGCAGCACAATGTGATGCTACCTGTTTTACAACATAGTTTGCACCCAGCTGCAACATGCATAAGTTCAAATCCATAAACCTGAAGTCAGTGGGCGAGGGAAAGTGTGGGTTCATGTGCCAGCTGTTCACCCAGGTCATTTTTAGACAGAGGTTTTTGTTTTAAGTCTCTTTTTTCTAAGTTGCTCAGTTCTTCTAAAGTGTGTTGAAATAAATCTATTGGTGGAGGGGAAAGCAAAAAAAAAAAAAAAAATCAATCGCATGAGGAATTCCTGTCAGGAATACAGCCCCATGTGCGTCCAATATCAGACTTTGCATTATAACACAAAATAACATTCAGGAACATGTGTCAGAAACAGTTTTGGTGTGAGCAATCAATATTAGTTTTTGTGTGAACCATTACAAACAGAATAACATGCCATTGGGGATTTCTTCTCACGGCTTGTAAGGCAGCACTCATGCCTTAGCCTTGCAAACATTAATACTTGGAGACTGTCTGGCTCAAGAGAATGATTATGAACTAGGAAATCTTTTGAAACCACATCACTGGTCTTTCTCTGACTAATGACTGAAAACCATTACCACTGATGGCCTATGAGAAATAAATTAGGGGAACCAACCTATTTTTGTAGGCTCTATATTCTAATATTTATCACCATGAGTGTTGACACTCAGCAAAACAATCAATGGTTTAATGGTCAAATTGAGATTGAGCTATTCTCTGCCATTGGAGAGGATTCCCAGGTCCCTCTAGATTTGAAGCACAATGTTGGATAAAAAGAACAAGGAGTACGTGTGGCACCTTAGAGATTAACAAATTTATTTGAGCATAAGCTTTCGTGGGCTAAAACCCACTTCATTGGATGCATGCAGTGGAAAATACAGTAAGAAGATATATATATACACCCACATACATACATACACACACACACACACACACACACACAGAACATGAAAAAATGGGTGTTGCTGTACCAACTATAACGAGAGTAATCAGTTAAGGTGAGCTTATCAGCAGGAGAAAAAAAAAAACCTTTTATAGTGTTAATCAGGATGGCCCATTTCCAACAGTTGACAAGAAGGTGTGAGTAACAGTGGGGGAAAAAATAAGCATGGGGAAATAGTTTTACTTTGTGTAATGACCCATCCACTCCCAGTCTTTATTCCTAATTCCTAAGCCTAATTTAATGGTGTCCAGTTTGCAAATTATTCCAATTCAGCAGTTTCTCGTTGGAGTCTGTTTCTGAAGTTTATTTGTTGTACTATTGCGACTTTTACGTGTGTAATCGAGTGACCAGGGAGATTGAAATGTTCTCCAACTAGTTTTTGAATGTTATAATTCTTGACATCTGATTTGTGTCCATTTATTCTTTTATGTAGAGACTGTCTGGTTTGGCCAATGTACGTGGCAGAGGGGCATTGCTGGCACATGATGGCATATATCACATTGGTAGACGTGCAGGTGAACGAGCCTCTGATAGTGTGGCTGATGTGATTAGGCCCTATGATGGTGTCCCCTGAATAGATATGTGGACAGAGTTGGCAACGGGCTTTATTGCAAGGATAGGTTCCTGGGTTAGTGTTTTTGTTGTGTGGTGTGTGGTTGCTGGTGAGTATTTGCTTCAGGTTGGGGGGGCTGTCTGTAAGCAAGGACTGGCCTGTCTCCCAAGATCTGTGAGAGTGAGGGATCGTCCTTCAGAATAGGTTGTAGATCCTTTGTGATGCGCTGGAGAGGTTTTAGTTGGGGCTGAAGGTGATGGCTAGTGGCGTTCTGTTATTTTCTTTGTTGGCCCTGTCCTGTAGTAGGTGACTTCTGGGCACTCTTCTGGCTCTATCAATCTGTTTCTTCACTTCGGCAGGTGGGTACTGTAGTTGTAAGAATGCTGGATAGAGATCTTGTAGGTGTTTGCCTCTGTCTGAGGGGTTGGAGCAAATGCGGTTGTATCTTAGAGCTTAGCTATAGACAATGGATCGTGTGGTGTGGTCTGGATGAAAGCTGGAGGCATGTAGGTAAGTATAGCGGTCAGTAGGTTTCTGGTATAGGGTGGTGTTTATGTCCAGGAAGTGGATCTCTTGTGTGGACTGGACCAGGCTGAGGTTGACGGTGGCATGGAAATTATTGAAATCATGGTGGAATTCCTCAGGGGCTTCTTTTCCAGGGGTCCAGATGATGAAGATGTCATCAATGTAGCTCAAGTAGAATAGGGGCGTTAGGGGACGAGAGCTGAGGAAGCTCTAAGTCAGCCATAAAAATGTTGGCATATTGTGGGGCAATGTGGGTATCCATAACAGTGCCGCTGATTTGAAGGTATACATTGTCCCCAAATGTGAAATAGTTATGGGTGAGGACAAAGTCACAAAGTTCAGCCACCAGGTTTGCCATGACATTATCGGGCATACTGTTCCTGACGGCTTGTGATCCATCTTTGTGTGGAATGTTGGTGTAGAGGGCTTCTACATCCATAGTGGCCAGGACGGTGTTTTCTGGAAGATCACCAATGGATTGTAGTTTCCTCAGGAAGTCAGTGTTGTCTCAAAGATAGCTAGGAGTGCTTGTAGCGTAGGGCCTGAGGAGGGAGTCTACATGGCCAGACAATCCTGCTGTCAGGATGCCAATGCCTGAGATGATGGGGCATCCAGGATTTCCAGGTTTGATTATGATGTCAGAGTTGTTTCTGAGGCTGTGGATGGCATTGTGTTCTGCATGGGACAAGTGATGCTACTTTTCCACAATTTCAGCCCATGCATGTCGGTGGAAGCACTCTATGTAGAAGTCCAGTCTGTTGTTGGGTAATTTTGCACTGGTGCTCTAAGCATTCAGTTTCCAGCCTCCTTTATCCAGAATCTTTTATTTAATGAAATCTTACAAAGAAAAATATAACCAGAGAGATAGGTGTCATCTACTTACGCTGTGTTGTTTCACTCTCACTGGAGGCTGTGGTGTTGGTATAGCCTTGAACGTCTGTGGTAGAATCAAACCGGCCTGTTGGAAAACAAACCAACAGTTTGCAAAAGTTGTGCTAGAAAACATTGTTGTACTTACCATTCCTCAGACTCTCCTCCTGGTCTCCTGACTGGATAATGATTAATGTCTGTTTCATCTAATATCAACAGTTTTGGTTAATTCACAGACACGCATGATGATAAAGAACTGGATGGGGCTTTCTTTACAAAAAACTAAAGCAAGGTTTGGGGTTTTGTCATCAAGTAGAAACACAGCATGAGTTTAATGAAAGGATGATTCAGGTTTGTAAACATTTCTAAGGAATCTAGTCTGAGTTTTGGAGAAAATCTGAACTGATTTATCATTTCAATGGGAAAGCAGTTGAAACTTGGAGGTTTTAATTGAATTTTGGGGCTTGTTCAAACCTGAAGCCAAACATATGTGAATCAAAACTGTGGAAAAAGGTTCTCTGCATGAACACCTATGAAACAAACCCATGTTTTATCCAGCTCTAGCAAGATGATAGTTTTGAGGTAGTGCCAATCAGGACCCTCATGAGAGCCAATTCCAATTCTCCATTTAACAGTTCAAAAGGAATCAAGTAAAATGCTGAATAGGCTAGAGCTGAACCAGCTATTTATCAGGCATTGACTCAGGCAGATAGCAAGCAATCCTCACAGATGGCTTATTTCAGACTTGCTAAAAATGTCAATCCTTCCTGACACCTGTCTGATTCTGCAAGAATGGCACTAAGTCATCTGAGAATGTTTGCACGCCTGAGAAGGTGAGACAAAGCTATTACCTAACACTCAGAATGCAAGTGTCTCCATGTGCTGCACACGAGGGATTAACATGAAAGCTAAGCATAGAACAGGCTGCCCTTGCAAGAGCTCCAGTACTGCCCTCTCACAGCCTTCCGATCTATTTGTGTGCACTCTCTGCTTGTATCAATTCCCTTACACCAGCTGTCTCCTGGATTTTCATTAAGAGTGCTGTGAAATAAGAAGTTGAATCAAACAACTTTTATACTAATGAGGATTTAGAGGGCAAATCCTCTGCTCACTAACTCAGCTGCCTCCCGGGGGATCTTTTGAAGAAGCCTATGGTGACATTGGTGTGGAAAGAAGTGTGCGAGTTAGTAGAAAGGATGGAGCAGTGTTATGTAGAGCACTGGGTCACCCAGACCCTGTCTATTGTGCAACTATAATTGAGTCAGGGGAACCAGTTACAACACAGTTGTTCCCTGTTTACAGGAGATAAGACATGCCGAAGTCCTGTTTACACCACAGCTTTTTACCAATGACCTGAGCCAGTTATAACATGTCCGAACTAGGTTGGCAGACTTATTTATATTTGTAGTGTAGCTGAAGCTTTATTTGGGTGGCAGACATTTATATTTCCATATTGCAAAGCAAGCTAAAAGGTTTTCATTTTATTTGAGACAAAAGGAGGGTGAGGTAATATATCTTTTATTGGACTAACTTCCTAAGAGAAGCCGGATTTAAAAGAAAAGAAAAACAATCAATCACTTTTGCCCTATGTACTAAGTGCCATCACAGATATGTAGTGTCTGCCCTTCTCTGACGTCTAAGATGACAGAAGGCCAATGCCCGCAGTACAGCTGACACTGCGCACTGTCTGTATTGTAATATACAAATATATTTTCATTTGTGAGCCATGACTATGGTGTTGCTCTGAGGAGGAAGATGAGATTAGAGTAGTCTGTTACACTGACTCTTTTCCATGCCCCGGGGGTTGCCATTCTTCACAGCATGTGGTTTATCTTTCGCGTTCTGGGTTGTTTCATTTGTGCATGATTATATTATGTGCCAGTAAGTCTACAGCCTGTTGCTAGCAAGGGGAGAAAGAATGCCTGCCTAATCCTGGATCATACAGGCTGCTGGAGGGAGATACAGACAACTGGGCCTCATAATGCAAACAATCCTCAAAAAGGGCAGTGTTTCGATTACTAGAGAGGCACTCAGTACTAGGAAGGTCTTTGCTATTCCAAACCATCAGGGCCAAACCACATGCAAGAGGCTCAGACCTTAGTCCGCTTTTGATTCATGGGACTGTCATAGAGTTGTCAGGTGTACACCAGGGACATTTGTTGTGAGCTAATCCCACCAAGGTAGTTTGAGTAAAACCCGGCACTACACTTTCAACAACAGATTTTTTTGGTTCAATGGCAATTCCCAAAAAAGAGTGGGGGGGCAAGAAGGGTGGGGGAGAACAGTTTAGGACCAAACACATTTTTTCAATCTGAAATTAAAAAAATGCTCAAAATCAATACAAAAAAAAAAATCAGAAAGTTGAAAAGTTAAGTAAAATTCAAGGAATTTTTTAAATGAAAAATAATTTCAAACAAAAAATCGAAATGCTTCATTTTGAAAGTGTAGAAATGAAATCTTTTGAATTTTTTTAGTCTTTTTTACTTAAGCAGTTTGGCAAAATTAACACAAATTCGTGAAATGTTTTGGAGTAACTGAATTTGCTTTTTTTTTTTTTTAAACCAAAAAAAAGTTGTGAAAAATTTTACCCAGCTCTACTTCCAGCTGAGTCATATTTCATCATGCAAACCCGAGTGTCAGCAAGGCCCACTAAGACTGCCACAGACGGAAGAGGGGAAATCACTAAGTTGAGTCATGCATTGTAAATATTTTATTTCTCTGAGCACTCTGTGTATGCTCTGGTGCTGCAACACTTGGTTTGAGCTTTCGGTATCTGTAATATCATCCCATTTTCAAATATCTTTTTAATTATAAAAACATGTATGCACAGTATTTTTGCTCAATTCGCTTTCTAAAACTGATGCATATTTTCTGAAACAAACACAATACGTGCTACTACATCATAACCGTAATTTCTCACATCAGTTTATTCTTAAACTGCCAACTACCAGATTAGAGAGACAAGGTCGGTGAGGTAATACCTTTTATGGGACCGACTACACTGCAAACTACCAGATTGTAACATGGTGTGAAATAGGATTATACCTACGGTGTAAATGTAAGTTAAGCGTATTTTTGCCAAAAAATTGATGTCAGTTATTTAGTGTCCATCTGTATTTAATTTGTTTCTTTAAATTCCTGCAGCAATACAGAAAACATTTCAGAGACAAAAATGAGGCTGAATCTTTCTTACTTTGTGCAGTGGAAACAGATTCAGAGGTTACTGGACTTGTGAAGTTTAGGCAAGTTGAAGATGTAGTTTGAAGTCCTATGTAAAACAAATATTATGTGATAAGACATTTAGTTCATGGCGTGCTTAGTATTAATATTATAGTAGCACCTAGAGGAACTAACCAAAGTCAAGGCTATTGTACTAGGCCCCATGCTAACATACAGTTAGAGACTCTGCTCCAAGTCTATTTAAGTTTAAGAGCAGATGCATTACATAAATGTAGAAAATTAACAAGACAGTCAGAGAAGGAGGCTGTGGATAATAATAGAAATACTTTTTTGAATAGGCTAGCTGAGTGCACTATTTTTAGATATCTAAGGTTGCTAGGTTTGTGTGTGGTGTGAATGCTGTATGCTCTTTATTCCCACTTTCGGTCTAGTCAAACAAGGTCTTTGCAGTTCTAGTCTTGACATCTTGGATTACCAAGCAGGTCTGGTGTTTTCCAAACTCTTCTAAAAGGAGAGGCAGGACACAATAATTGATACCGATGAACATTATACCATTATCTCTAAGCTTGTTTCAGCCCAGGAATGGTGGCATTATTAATTAGACCTACTAGGTGGTCACTACAGAAAGGCTTTCCTTTGTATAACACTATATGTAGTCCATGCTAACATATGTGGATTACATATCCATGAAGTTACAACAATGCAGTCATAATCAATTGAAACTTCTAAACAAGTATTGATGGATTCCTGTCAATTAAGAACCACACATAAAACTAATTTTACCAACGAACAGTCATGTTGTACCATTTGAGTTAGGGGATGCAGAATTGGACCAAAAGGGAAAGTGAAATTAAGAAACTTGGCAGTGAGGGTAGGAAGTTCATATTTATGACATGTCTGGTGCATACATTAGTATATTGAATATGGAGCACATGGCTCATATTAAGAGTGAAGATGTGCAGTTACGATGTTTGAGTGCAGGGGTAGTTTTAACTCGTATCAATTATCTGTAGTAGTAATACAATTTTTGTAAAGTATTTTATTTTATTTTTTAATTCAGTAAATGTGTGTAACAATCCTATTCAGTATTCAACACAACATTCTATTTTTTTTTTTTTTTACCTCTCAAGTAAAAGTGATTGAGAATTTTTCCAAGATTTGTGTCATGCCTCCTCTGACTTAGCTAAGATCATAGCCAATAGGAGAAGGGCCAGACTGAAAAAAAGCCCTGAGGATTACACCATTTCTCAGTGTGAGCAGGTACTACTAGAGCATGAACACACACTGAACGTGATTCTCAGTCTTGCCTCATTGTGAACCTGATGCGTAAGCACAGGTCAAGTAAGAATCTATTAGCAGAAAAATAGGATGAAATATTTTACCTGTGGTAGCCATGATTGTTGACGGAAGTGTTGAAATTCCAGGATCTATAAGCAATCAAATCCAACAAGGACTTTTAAATGGCTTTTTCAGTATAGCAATGTTATTTATTATGTTCCTGAAAATAGAGCCACTAAGGCTTCCAAAGGCACAAGGCAATTTACAAAACCTCACACTGATCTGTCAGAGAAATCAATATGATCAGAAGGCGCAGACACACATAAGCAAGGAAAAGCTGAAAGCCCTTCTTCTCTTCATGCCGTTCTAATAGGTGATTATGGGGGAGCATGCTAACAAGTAAACAAATGTGGTCAACCTAAGGGTTGTGTGCAACGTTGCTACAGATATTCAAACCCTCTGACATCAACACTTGTTTTGCAAACCTTAGGCCAGGTTTAAGTAGGTGTTCTACAGCTGGGTTGATGCTATTGACCAGGTTCTACAGCCAGAACGAGTCCCCTCTCCTTTCCCCTGTGTATTCTGGGGACACCAGAAGGCCACTCCCCCATTGGAGTCTTCCATGCACCCTTGGAGGGGCAGGCCACATCCAGCACAAGGAGAAGCCCAGTGGGAGGGGAGTAGGCCACCAACATTCCCTGGATATGTCCAAGGTAAGCATGATGTCCTTGAAACAGGAGGGGAGGACCAACTGCTGCGAAGGGGAAGAGGATGAGGGTTCTTTTTCTGTATGACAAGAACCTTCAAGCATGGGCTGTGCTGTTGAAAGCTCCCATCCACAAAACACTGCAGGTTCATGTGCCCACAGTAACTTGGACTCTGTAGGGTTTGTATAATTCTAGTGAATACCATGGAGGGAGGGGAATCATTCAGGCTGCTACAAGGATGCATAACTAGGAGTAAAGCCTTGAAACTGAAATTCTGATATATACTGCACAACGCACTGCACTCTACCTGAAAAAGGCACTATATGTTAGCTAATAGGAGACAGCAGGCTTCTCTGCACAGATTGAAGTTTCTTCTTATTTCATCTGGTACTTTTTTAGCTTCCAAATAAGGAGAGATTAAAAATACTGGGTCTATTCATCTTTGAAAAGAGATGATTGAGGGGGGATATGATAGAAATCTGTAAACTCCTGAATGGTGTGGATAAAGTGTATAAGGACGTGTTATTTACCCTTTCACATAACACAAGAAAAAGGGCTCACTCAATTAAGTTAATAGGCAGCAGGTTTAAAACAAACAAAAGGAAGTACTTCCTCACACAACACTCAGTCAACCCGTGGAACTAATTGCCAGGGGATGTTGTGAAGGCCAAAACTATAACTAGATTTAAAAAAAAAAAAAAGTTCATGGAAGATAAGTCCATTAATGGCTATTAGCCAGAATGTCCAGGAAGCAACCCCATGCTCTGGGTGTCACTAAACCTGTGATTGCCAGATGCTGGGACTGGATGACAAGGGATGTATCACCGGATGATTGCCTGGTTCTGTTCATTCCCTTTGAAGAATCTAGCATTGGACACTGATGGAAGACAAGTTATTGAGCTAGATGGACCATTGGTCTGACCTAGTACGGTCGTGCTTATATTTAATATAACCCATACCTGGATTAGACCAATAACTTAAATAGCAGCACTTTTCATGACCATTTAAGTGTTCACTGCCTCTCACGCCATTGGCTTACAAGGGCACTGGACACATCTTTCTCCAAGGTCAATCTGCACTGAGTCTTCTATATACATACAGACCTACAAAGACACATACATATATACACACATGCAGATCACCCAACAAATCACTGAAATGTAGTCATCTCTGGTGTGGAACACACTGGAGTATTTGCTCCAACAACACTACTCAACAGCAGCTAGGCTCGGGGACATGAAGAATAATCTGTCAGCTGAAACTATCAGCAGAGCTGACAGTGACAGAAAGCAAGAATTTGGTCAAAAAGGACACCTGAATTAACAAGCAGACTGTTGTGAAATATGCCACCAACTCTTTAAAAATCAGAAGTGTATAGGACCTTGGTAGTGTGTCTAATCTGAATGAGGTATTGTTAATAGCACAGTAGCCGCCTAATGTTCTTCTCAGGCATCAGTTCAGTACTGAGAGCCACCTATTCAACTGCCAACCCAAACTTCCAGAAGCATCTTCAGTGTTCCTTAAAAGACCTCCCATTCAAAGAGTGACTAGGCTCCCTTCTGCTTAGCTTGTGAGAATTAGCTATGATAGATCACAGCTCAAAATGGTGCAACTATGATGGTAGCACCATGTAACGAGGCCTTCACCTGCCCTCACAACAAATCAGCCAGAGACCCCCCTCTGAGTGCAATCACCAGTGCTTTTTATTTTCAGTGTCATCTCCCACCACCTCCTATTTACAGTCTGCTCCAAACTAGCAACCTGGGGGACAGCTAGCTTCTCCAGCCAGCAGGGATGCACAGCTTTTGGCTCTTCCCTTTCCTTTCTCTTCCCCCCTTTCACTTCCTTCCTGCCAGCTTTATATAGCCCCCTGGCTAATGAGGCCCGCAGGTGCTTCTCTTCTAGCAATTAGGCATAGCATACTCAGCCAGCCCCAATTAATACTTCTTAATTGGAGCTGGGCTAACAGGGGCCTGGCTCAGGACCTCCTGGCCAGCACCCTGTTCCACTCCACAATTAAGTCTTTTGTTATTTTCTGAACTTCTGATAATTGCACAAAAGCAGAGTGTTCTAACTATGCTGTTCAGTCCATTCAGAAATGCTATGGCAAGTTTGGGTGCCCACTGTTCCCGCAGGAAAACAGAGCGTTAGAAACTTGTGCACGTAATACGGGCGCACCAGTTGGAAAACAAACAGCATGACATTAAATGTAGTGAAGAATAATTTATCTTACCTGTTGTAGCTGTGGTTGTAAAAGCTGGAAGTGGCACTTTGTTATATACAGGGCCTGGGAATAGGCAAATAAAATCAGTTCTTAAAGAAGACAATAAACTTGTGTTTATAATAAGATCTTAAAAATAATTCACTTGTGTTGTGCCACAAGGTGAAAGCCCCTCTACACATTGCAGCGATCGCAGTACCACTATGAATTTTCCTTTTTAAAAAACTCATCCGTTTTTGCATAGAGGAGCATTATGTTGGTATTAGTAAATCCTATAGTCAAGTTTGGAAATCCTTGATTTGATTGATTGTCGATACAAATTCATTGTGGGGCTGACGTTGTCAATATTTGGTGTTTGCTAAAAGAAGACTACTTTTAAGATATACATATGACAATCCCTCCACACACTTATTTCCTCTTCAGAAACCATTCAAAATGGCTGAGATTTGAATATTGACACGTAAACATTCTTCACTGGGAAGCACACCCATAACCAAATGTGACCAACTCTGGCTGCAAAGCAGCAAAGTCATTAACATTTTAAAGTTAAGACTGGACATACATAGTAGGAATGGTCACTAAGGAATGAATCATGTCCCCATTGCAGTGACAAATACAAAGTCTGTGCACCAGGGAGGAACGTGGTTGGCAGAGAAAGAGTGCACATGCATCTGAGTGCCAGTGGACTGCTACCCCTTCCTCAATTATGGAGTGGGAAAAGAGGTGCCCCACAGCCATTAAAGCAGTGGTTCTCAAACTTTTGTACTGGTGACCCCTTTCACATAGCAAGCCACTGAGTGTGACCTCCCCCCCTTATAAATTAAAAACACTTTTTTATACATTTAACACTATTATAAATGCTGGAGGCAAAGCAGGGCTTGGGGTGGAGGCCGACAGCGCACGACCCCCCCCCCCCCCCATAATAACCTTGACCCCCAGTTTGAGAACCCCTGCATTACAGCATCCCCAGGAATGCAGTTACTCTCTAGGCTGCTATGACCCCATGTCCATGAAGGCTTTCAACTACTTAATGCAGGGCAATTTCCCATTCAGCTCCCACAATAGTGGAATACAAGGTACCCATCTGGTGTTAACGGAATGCAGAGAGGGCTCCATGCATCCTACCCATTGGTTTGACTGTCTTCAGAGCCTTTTTCATCCCTTACTCTCACTGCCCATAATAATCTGGCCTTAACTCTGAGAAGTTTGACTTTCCAGACAGCTTCACTGCGCAAATGCATGCCTTTCCCCAGGAGTGCATATTGAAAAATGCTTGTTAATAACAACATACTGGTGCCTTGTAGCTAAGCCAGTGTATACTTAGCTGAAGACTGTAGCAGGCAATGGTGTAACAGTAAATGGAATGAGTTCCCTTCCACATGTGCGGAAGCCAACTTTTTTTTTAAGCTGTTGTAGTTTATATTTGACAGATCCTTAGCGCAGTTAAGGTCTTACCTTGAAACTGTGCACGCAGTATTGCCTGACTCATGCTCATGTAATTTCTATACATACAATCTTGTATTTCCCGGAGCCTCGTATTTTGTTTTTGTTTCTTTAAATTACAGAAAGCTCAATGCGTTCTGTGTTCTGAATATTTTAGATTTCAGATGTGTCATAATTAAAGATGACTTACCAGAAGAAATTACTATTTCTCCAGATGAAATATTGCATGTTTTATTCCCCAGGAAGGGAAAACTACACGTACACCAGAAAGTCTGATTAATGGCAGACTGGTTTGTACTTTGTATCTTCAGTATTGATCTCAATTCATAGAAACCTTCACCATCTTTTAGATTTTCAGCTTCAAGAGATATTCCTAAAAGTAAGATGGAAAAGCCATTAGTCCTTCTTTTATGCCCTGTCTGATAAATCAGAGCTGTGTGAAATGCTAGCTCTGAAAAACACACTCATACAGCTTAAGGTTTCTTAACTCAGATCTGGTATAAAGGTTTAATCCGATAAACATGACTGTTCCAAGTTATCATCTCCATGAATGGAATTGCGGTATGGGAGCCATCACTGCTGGTCAGCTGTTCTTCACTGACCGTAAGGATGTTCCTTCTGCACTGAAATGGGTACCCACAACCCTCCACCCAATTGCAGCACCAATTGCTTTTCTTTTGGCTTATAAGAATATTATTTCTGATTAACATTTATTACCTCCAAATTGGTCTTTAAGAATCTCTCCATCTGCATACCAGGTGAGGTTCGGCATGGGAAATGCCTTCCTTACAGTACAGGTAAGACTAGCCTATAGGATAGTAGGAATAAGTCAAGTTACTAGTCAAAACATTTCTGACATGATTTGCGTTAATATTCATTACAAAAATAATAATAAAAAAAATTGTATGAACATATTGGCCATTCCCATTTAGTAAGAACCATTTACTTCTCTTTTAGGATGACGATGTTTCTTATCTAGTTCATTCTATTTCTACACTAAAAGGTAAGATTTATCAAGCTCAAAGGACGGCTAAATAGAATGTATAAGCATTTCATCCTCAATATAGATCTTTGAGTGAAAGCTGGGAGGATTGAAATTCATTATCCAATTCTGTTAGTGGCTTGAGAGAGATGAGATGGTGTTCTCAGTACTGTTCCTAGCAGATAGATAGACATCCATATTTTTAAAAAAACACATCATTTGTAATAGTCTGGATTCTCAGGGAAGTTTAGGCACAGCCTCCTTTATTTCAGATATCCTGATAGGTCCTCAGAAAGTCTTCCTGGCAAAGGATGTGTCAAGTACATAGAACTAGCTACCATAGAACTGGGCACACGGATGCCAAAGATTACAGAGACACGCATAAGCCTATGTGTTGCACCCTACGTGGAATAACAAAGGACAGAGCATACTTACTCCCAAGCATATGACACATTTACCCCTAACTGGGTTTTGTGGCAGCCAACAAAAGGCAAAGACTGGGTAGACCTGAAGATTGGACTAACCTCTCTCTAGAGGGGGGGGCCTCCACATTGGGGCATAGACATATCAATGGACAGTGAGCATGTGGGGCCTCACCATGCCAACGCTGCCTGTGTGTTGCACTAGATTAATTTTGTTTTAACATTTTGAAGTGCTAAAGGAAGCTCAGCTTTCTTCTACTTTAAAAGTAAGAAGTTTGTTTTATTATGGGGTAGTCACACACTACATGTCCATCCCTTCTGAAGAAAGCAAAGCATGTAAGTTGACTCCAAATGCATCACAATGGTTACAAACCACACATTAAGGATGGAGATTGACATATTTTTCTTGTCATAAGTCATCTCTGAAATCATGCTGTAATTGATTTTTTTCCTTCTGTTCTTCCCACAGCCCTTTGTCCTTCCTTTACTATGATCTCATTTATCAGTGCTTCTTAATGGCAAGTCCCAATTTGCTGTCCAGACTGGATTTTATTCCTTTTGGGGGGCTAAAACAGAGGAGGAAGGTGTTCAATATTTGGATGAGGAGAAGAAGAGTTAAAATCTCTTGAACATAAGCAGAATAGTGCAAATGAGACTGTGGTATTGAAAATTCAGCACTGAAATACGTCATGGGGGAAATTATGACAGTTCTATGCTCTGTGTCTGATATATGGCTAATCTGAAAGCAGGATGGATGTGGTTTATGTCGCTTTTGTCTGCTGATAGACTTCAGATCACAGAACTTATTTCAGGTGTCTACTGATCAAAAGGCTAAATTTGGCTGGTCAAAAACTATGCGGACAGATTTCATGACAATGCTGTCACTAGTTGGTCATCAGGCGACTGATCCATTTTATACTAAATATGATCTGAGCTGTAAGATTTGGGTAAAGATTCTGAACATCCATAATTCTGAGTGTATTTCCTCTGCTTTGGGTCCCTCTGCTGATAATGTAAGCCATGTGCCCAAGCTACATTACTGTTGGCAGAGGGTAGTGATAGATGGAGAAATGAGAGGTGTGCCTTAGAAACTCAACAGGGCTGCCATTAGGCAATGAGTGTGGCAATTTGAGACACAGGATGCACTTTTCAAATAGAGATTGTGCAAAGGTGGTATTGTGTCACCTCTACACGGACACCTCCACCTTAATCTTGGGGGTAGCCAGGGCTGGTCGGAGCCCAAGAGAAGTTAGAGCAGCTAAAGGGCTGTTTCAAGTTGCACTGGCTGGTAAAAAAGCCCCAGGGGGACTGTTACATAACTGGAAACAACTTGAGTGCAAAGTGGAATTTCAGCATTACAGCTCCTTTTAAAATATACTGATTCTACAGCCACTTTTGCCTAGCTGTGCTCAGTGACATGGCAAAAATGCTATTTCATGTCTTTAGGCAGTATTACTCCCAGCAAGCTCGTGCCTGCAGTTCATACAATCAACTGGCTTTCCAGGAATCTATCCATGCGGGAAGACAATCTCCCTGCCTCTTTCCACCATCAGGTAACAGAAGGAAATGTGATTGGCTAACACAATAATTGAGTTATGAGTTTTCTATAATTGGAACATAGCTGTTGCAAGGACCTACGGTTTGGCTTAAAATCTCGTAGCTGGGGAAAAACAGCAGCCTTATCTCAATCAATCAATCTAGTGACAATTTCATCAGGCAGGCTTGCTGAAATTCTTCTTTGGCCCAAGTGGCCCACTAGCAAAGGATTTGGTTTTGCATTTTGTCTATTTTTCACAAGCTTACTGGTTCGGTTATCTCCGATTTTGTTCATACTCTTCTCCCCTTATCCTACGCCCGCAAAGGCCATGCACAATTGTTCCCAACAGTAAACAACAAACTTTGGTATTTTGCCTCATCTCATTTTTACCCTACCAACAATCAGTTTTAATCAACCATTAGTAGCTAATTATTCAAGTGATTTGGGGAGCTTCCACCAGTTCCCCTGTGAGGCTGTTCCACAGCTGAATAGAGCTCTCTATAAAAACATTTTTCCTGATAAACAGTCTCAATTTTCCTTTGTTCAGTTTCTTATCACCAAAAATGCTAGTAATACCCCCTCGGATCATCCTCAAAAACTCCCTCCTTGATGCGTATGAAGGTGCAGTCAAGCATCAACATACTTACTCCTGCAAAAATGTTCTGGGATCTTTTACAATCAGTAGCAGGCAATAGTTGTGCTTGATGTCTAGTTTAAGCACACAGCTCCAAACCAATAAGCTGGTTCATGAATAGCTCAGATGAACGAACATGAATACTGAACTTAAATCACTGATGTGACTTCCTGTGGTCCCTGAGCATTCTGTCAATTTTAAAATCACTCACCTCCTCTATGCTCCCATTGGAACTATTTTGGAGGGCAATGGAGATTTCCGGTTTGGCTGAAAAGCAAATAAAATACATGTTAACAAAACTTACAGCAATCACCAAAGTAATTTAGCTTCTTACAAGAGTCTTAGTATTGTTTTTCCTAAAATTGATACCAAGATCAACATATGCCTTTTTATAATGACATGTGTGGTTAGTACACACTAAATACTGAAGAAGAGGGGAAGAGGCCGACACTTGTAATTGCTACTTCTAGTATATCCTAAGATCTGTATCGTATCTTACTGTTTTTAATTATCCTAGTATCTGAGACATTTGTACCCAAGAAATTAGTTCATAACACCTTATATACAGAATGATGATGGTCATAGCCACAGGAGGAGGAAGACTAGGAGTATTTTCTTGCCGTCAATGTGTTTCATTTGAGTACAGGTGACTATACTAACATGAGCTTGCATATATTTTTAAGCCTGTCTAAATGAATTTTTTTTTCTTCTTAAAACAAGTTGCTGAACGATCATTCAAAAATAAAAGGTGCATTCTGACACCAGTGAATGTTCAGGTCACTAATAATGTCTAAGGATTTATTAGTTTAGTTACCAACCCTTCAGACAGATTGTGGCTAGTGAACAATGAACCTCAAAAGATTTGGACTAAACCCCCCAAAATTAAATGCTTATCTCAACCTTACCTTACTCTCTAGCCCTCTTTTGGCTGCAAAACTGGACTAGAAATCTCAGGTAACCAAGGGTTTCTTCTGAGAATTTCGGTTCTTCCTATTTCCTGCCTACAGCTTTCCAGATTTCAGCTGTGTTGCCTTTGCTCTCTATCACAAAATGTTTGCCCAGGTCACCTCTATAGCACCACGGCACTACTTCACTGAGGAATTCTGCCCACATCTGTCTGTCACATCAGAGTAATGCAAAGCTGTTCTGTTCAGATCAATTCATCCATAACTGTGGCTTTCTTTCGTCACATCTTATTGCTTTTGGAATCTTTGGCATGTGTGTTCAGTTTTGCTGACTTGTTTTACTTGGACTGGCTCAGGTTTTAGTTTCAGGGGTTTGGGTGTTTGCTTGTGTTGTATGTGACATGTTGTGGGTGTTATTTGTGGTTTGTTGGGTTTTTTGGAGGGGTTCTCGCTATTGTCTCCAGATACTGTACTGGAAAGCTGGTGCTTTCAGATATTCTGCTTCTTACCCTAGCTTTAACTAGGCAGCACAGCAGAATGAACAACAATGGGCTGGGAAGAAAACAGCCACACTTTTTCAAACCTCAGAAATGTTGAATATTGGACGAAGATTAAGCCAGAATTTATTATATCTTAGCCATTTTTGCGCACTCCTCTTGTATGTATTTATTTTAAATCACAGCTGGACAATTTTTTCCCCAAGTCCATGCTGGTTTCTGGCCATGCTATTTTCTCCATTTCATGATATGTTTGGTGCACAACTATTCAATCCTGCATCTACGGGAAAAGGAATTGGAAGATCTAAGGTCTTTTCCATCTAACTTCTAAGCTTCTATTAATTGTTTGGCATCCATTTAGCTTTCTAGGATCTTTACAGATGTTTCGGGACCAGGAAGAATTCAGTATCTAGCACAGTGATTTCTGCTGTTGGACTTGTCAATCATTGGCAAGTTGAGACTTGAAAAATAACAGTTCTCACTAACTTAACTCAGCGCACTCAGTTTGAGAAAAGGCATGTTCACTAAGCACATAGTTCCAAAAGTCTTCTGTTAACCCCTGCCTCATAATTGCTTATTGACGTTTTACAGGGGGCTAGAAAAATCCATCAGGTCCCTGACTTTGCTTTTATATCATATCTTACTTGAACTGTAACATAGACCCAATATAACACTTAATTGCTATCACTGACTCTTACACACAGGGTCACAGTCTCTACTATGCCAAGTTAAAACGGGACACAACAGTGAGATAGGGAGGGCTGTTAGGGAGAAAGCTACAGCTCCCTCATTCTCTGTCCAGCTCCAGTGCAGTATCCATAGCGGAGGGTCTGATGCAACCTGAGATGGCTAGGTGTCATCCCCAAGTGACCATATGAGGTCTGAGGACTGCTGAATCGGTGTGCTATGGGCACTCCCCCTGCTTGCCCCTCCCCAGCCCCAGGGGAAAGAGAAGCAAGCTGCAGTCCCTGTGACCTGCACTCTATTTTCCTTCTGAACATGTGTGACTAAGATTTGAGAGACCTCAAGTCATCTTCTGAATCCCCCTCCAACCTTTCTGCTGACTGGGGACCAGGAGGGGAAGAGTGCCCAAGACAGAAGCTATATAAGGCAGTCCAATTGCTAGGGATTGGGCTGAGGCTACTACAGGGCCCTCAAAGAGCATAGCATAGCACAGCAAAAGGTTTTGGTTTGTCTAGTTTGTGCTGAAGTCTGCTCTGCTTCTGCCCCCTCCCATTTCCTGCTAACATGCTGGTGTACGTGTCTCTGTGCACAGCCACCCCGACACAAGTTTACATGAACAGCGAGCAAAGGATATTAATGTCTAACTTATCATACGCAGAACAAGGGGCTATTCTAATTGCAGTGGTTTCAATACTTTTCAGTGCTCAAGGGTCTATCCAGATTACACTAATTATTTGTCAAACGTCCCTTTTTAAACTTAAAAGCCATTTCTGACTCTCACAAGCGCAAGAGGAAATCTCAGACCATCAGCTTCTATTTTTGTGTCTCACCTCAGCGTGTGACAGCCCCAAAGAGTTTCCTTTTTCCAAAAATATTGCTTCCTGCTGAATCTTTGCATTCTGGGCATCAGCCCAGTGTGAGATGTGTTGGAGACTCCTGAGAGCTAGTGGTTATATAATGGATATGTGGACAGCCCCTCCACTCGCTGCTCATTCATTTTAGCAACCCTGGAGTTGTACCTTCCAAGAGTCAGTGGACTATAAGCAGATTAATCACTCTCACAACTCCCCAGGTCTTTGACACAGCAAACAATGCTGTCCACTTGTACTTCAGCAGTTTCCAAGCAGACTTCCTACACTATTTGAAACAGAACAGAGCAAGATTTGATAAAATAGTTATATGGGATGCCTCATTTTGTGGGTGCCCAGTCTGTGACAACTCAAAGGGTTCCGATTTTCAGAGGGTGGGTGGATCAGTAATTTTCTGAGAATCAGGCCCTTTTAATGTGTTTCAGGTGAGGCATAAAAAAAAATGACGCACCCAAAATCACTAGTTACTTACTAAAATCTTAGCCGTGATATATAATTGAACTGATCACAAGCCAATAAGGGCTACACTTTTATATGATCTCAGTAACAAGGGCACAATGAGCTTGACTGTGAAAGTGCATGAATGCCCAACTGTTACCAAACTTGCACATACAGATGAGCTACTTACACACCTGTTTGCATGTTGACTGTCTATTTGTATACCCAGTAAGGTACTTTCCACAGATGCTTTCCTCAGTGTTGCAGGTGCTGGCACCAGATACTGGAAATTTGGCCTTAAGTGTTTGTTAAGAAATGTGGGTTTATTCTCTGAAGTAATTCACAAGAACAAAATGGCTGTCTGCGTAGCATGAATCAGAAGTCTTTATAATGCAAAAAAGGAAGAGTCGTCATAAACTGCTTACCAAAGACTTTCACTTTGGTGATGTTCGTCAGGATTCTTTCAGGATGGTACATCACACGACAAGAGAACACCTTGCCATCGTCAACCATTTTGATTGGGGAAATCTTTAGTGCATTGTCTGGACCTAGCTGAATTCTTTCCTTATACAATAGGCTGTAAGTCTTATTCACATCCTGGTGGTAGAACTCTTTGATAAGAATTGTTTCTTCATGTCCATATTCCCCCTGTTTAAAACACAGACAGATATTTCTTCCAGTCACAAACTCCTCCCTCCCTCCATCACAACCATTTCCTTCTCACCTTCTTTGAGTCAAAGCCTCAGGGATCAATCTAGGGTTGCAACATTAAGCTTAGCTTTTCATATAGCCTTTTCAATTCCTGGATCTCCGAGCGCATCACCGAAATGGTCATGATCTCCATTTTACATATGGAGGAAATAGACACAGAGTAGCTGGTTGACGAGCTTATGATCAAGTCTTCTGAATTGTAGTCCTGAGACTTAGACAGGAACCATACTGTGTCCTTCCCACCTACAGCTACCCTTCCACACAGTGTTAGGCAACTTTAGCACATTTAAGACTAGAGAAAAATTAGAGACTTCTCTTAATCTTTTGATTTTTTTTTAAATTTCTAGTTGCACCCAACTAACTGAAAAGCTGAACTTCATCATCTTCTTTTGACTCCTGTTTGCCAGAGCTAGTAGCAATGCCTAGAGTTAAGACTGAGTCCCTTTCTCTGTGCGTTTGTACACATACAATCTCAACATGTGCCATATATTTGCACATTCTGAAATGCAGAACTTTTGCTCTTTTTTTCCAATTCATAGTTTGAATTAACATCACCAAATAAAAATTAGCACAATATGCAGACTTGCCCTACAAAATTTCTAAGTTTAGGATAAATGTAGTACAAAGAAGAGGAGATCCAAACTGATAGCCAAAGGGGACAGAGCCACTAGAGAAAATAAAAGTTATGCTTATATTTGAAGGTCAGATTAACAAAGACACTATCAATTCGAGCTTTTCAAGAGTAACAGGTGCCAACAGATATAAACCTCAAAAAGAGCAAACAAGGTACAGAAATTAATGAGCAATGCCAAGGACATAGTTTGCTCATCTTCATCTCTGAACTACTGAAAGTAATTACAAGACAAAGTTGGAAAAAATACAGAGATTCCTGCGAAAAGTAACTGCAATGCAAAAAATAACTTGTTCAGCTCAAAGCCAAGAGCTTCTAAATTTGTTTTGTATGTGGTTTCACATGTCTAAGCAACTGTTTGAGAGCTGTTTTGTTCTCCCCATTTTCAAATTGAAAGTTAGCAGCGAGCAAAAATACCCATATGTAGTCTCACATTCTATTTCTGAAATCACCAGACACATTACTTATCAAACAACCAGGAGCAGTTCAGATAACCCTGAATGATGTTGAACATTTGGTAGTGCTCAAACAAATTAAGAATTTAACAACTTTAAAAAAAAATGATGCAGAGGGTTTTTTGGTTTTGTTTTTAATTTGGTCATTCAATTTACCAATTTCACTACCCTTTCCAACACTCTTTTTGGTTTCATTTATTTTGTGAAAAATTAAACCACCATAGCCATGTTTTTTCTTTGTTTTCAAACACACTGTTTCCGGTGAGATGTATGCTGCTTGTCAACTGTGGAGACACTGCATTTCTAGCTTTTCCTCCCTGTTGTCACAGTCTGATGTTTTCTCAGGTACTGAAATTACCTATACCTTTTGTCTAACAAACCTTTACTTTAACTGTTTGCAGTCCCCTGTGCAAAGTATAACATTTCTATTTGCTATGTTTTTTCCTTACTTTTTAACCAATAATGGAGGGTAGTTATACTTACCATTAGCCATTTCAAAGGATACTTGGACAAATTTACAGAAGTCATGTTCTCAAGGCATGGAATTTCCAGTGTTTCGTTTAATAGCACTTCCACCACCCCATAGTGCTTCTCATCTTTTACAATTGTAGCAAAAAGCAAGAAGAACAAAGAAAATGATTAGCACAATATGTGGTGTGCTCTAAAACAAAACATGCATTGCTCTGCTGTTCCTATGCTATTGATTCCATAGAATAGGCACTATTTTAAAAAAAAATTGGTTAAAATACTTCCAAAGCACAATAATCTTTTTAAGACTTATTTGCTAACTGAAAACCACGGTCCCAATTCTGCAAGCAACCCTATACCTAAAAGTTCCATTGAGTTTAACAGGAATATTGTAATGGAGTACTTGCAAAAGAAATTCCGCTAGTTGTAGAATCAAGATTTACTCTCAGAAGGGAAACTTGGAAAGGAGGGGGAAAAATGAGTTTGTTCCCTTCCTTCTGAGACACGTAAGAGTCTGAAATTTCCAATTTCTTCTACTGGAATAAACCTTAACACTAATTTTCCCATCTTTGGTACTTTTCATCTGAGATGCTCAAGGAGCTTTACAAACATTGACTAAGCTTTGCACCATCTCATGTGAGTGAAGTATACTCCCTGTTTTACTGATGAGGAAAGAGACAGAGGCATTAAGCGAGTTGATCCAGGTCACACAGACAGTGGCACAGCTGGAAATGGAGCACAAAACTCCTAAAACCCCATCCTTTTTCTACCATTGAGTCTCCTTTTTTAAAACAATCATGCTGGGTTATTTTCCTTCCAATAACGTCTTTGCCCACGAAAGTTTTGTTTAGTAATCACACAACAAAATTTAGATATGGATGCAACAGTCTGAGCGCACATTCCCTCTCCCGTAACAGCAGTATGCTTCAAATAGTAATAACTAGGGCTGTCAAGCAATTAAAAAATTTAATCGTGATTAATCGCACTGTTAAAGAATAATAGAACACCATTTATTTAAGGTTTTCTTGGATGTTTTCTACATTTTCAAATATATTGATTTCAATTACCACACAGAATACAAAGTATACACTGCTCAATTATTATTTTTTATTACAAATATTTACATGGTAAAAAACAAAAGAAATATTATTTTTCAGTTCACTTAATATAAGTACTGTAGTGCAATCTCTTTACTGTGAAAGTGAAAACTTACAAATGTAGAATTATGTACCAAAAAACTGCTAAAAATAAAACAATGTAAAACTTTAGAGCCTACAAGTCTACTCAGTCCTACTTCTTGTTCAGCCCATCGCTCAGACAAAAAAGTGTGTTTACATTTGCAGGAGATAATGCTACCAGCTTCTTATTTACAATGTCACCTGAAAGTGACAACAGTTGTTGCATGGCACTGTTGTAGCTGGCGTCGCCAGATGCGCTCAAGATTCATATATGCCTTCATGTTTCAACCACCATTCCAGAGGACATGCGTCCATGCCGATGACAGGTTCTGCTTGATAACCATCCATAGGAGTGAGGACTGATGCATGTTCATTTTCATCATCTGAGTCAGATGCCACCAGCAAAAGGTTAATTTTTCTTTTTTGGTGGTTCGGCTCTGTCATTTCTGCATTGGAATGTTGCTCTTTTAAGACTTCTGAAAGCATGCTCCACACCTCGTCCCAATCAGATTTTGGAAGGCAATTCAGATTCTTAAACCTTGGGTTGAGTGCTGTAGCTATCTTTAGAAAGCTCATATTGGTACCTCCTTCACGTTTTGTCAAATATGAGGTGAAAGCGTTCTTAAAACAAACAACATGTGCTGGGTCATCATCTGAGATTCCTGTAACATGAAATATATGGCCAAATGCAGGTAAAACAGAGCAGGAGACATACAATTCTCCCCCAAGGAGTTCAGTCACAAATTTAATAAACACTTTTTTTTTTAACGAGCGTCATCATCATGGAAGCATGTCCCCTGGAATGGTGGCCAAAGCATGAAGGGGCATACAAATTATTTAGCATATCTGGCACGTAAATACCTTGCAATGCCAGTTTACAAAAAAGCCATGCAAATGCCTGTTCTCACTTTCAGGTGATATTGTAAATAAGAAGAGGGCAGCATTATCTCCTGTAAATGTAAACAAACTTGTTTGTCTCAGCGATGGGCTGAATAAGAAGTAGGACTGAGTGGACTTGTAGGCTCTAAAGTTTTACATTGGTTTGTTTTTTGAGTCCAGTTATGTAACAATATATCTACATTTGTAAGTTGCACTTTCACAATAAAGAGATTGCACTACAGTACTTGTATGAGGTATGACAAAGCTCCTCCTCTGCCTTGGTGGGTCCTGCGCTTATTGGCGGATTTGCTCACCTCAGAGGTTCACGGAAGCCCTCAGTTTGGCCACTTTCATGGCTCAAATCTGCTGTTCATTCAGTTAGCCTCATCACTGGCCAGCATGGGGAAAAGGAAGAACAATAATTCCCTGCAGTCTCTGCTGATCCACCTAGTCGATCAGGGAATAGGCCAGAGACCTTCCCTTCTGGTGGAACCCACAGTCCAGTTCAACTCCTCCGGTATCAAGTAGGGAGTTGGGGGGATGGAGGGAACCCGGGCCCACCCTCTACTCTGTGTTCCAGCCCAGGGCCCTGTGGATTGCAGCTGTCTACAGTGGCTCCTGTAACAGCTGTGTGACAGCTCCAACTCCCTGGGCTACTTCCCCATGGCCTTCTCCCAACACCTTCTTTATTCTCACCACAGGACCTTCCTCCTGATGTCTGATAATGCTTGTACTTCTCAGTCTTCCAGTAGTACTCCTTCTCACTCTTAGCTTCTTGTCCTTCTTGCTCCCAGCTCCCCGCACGCACACCACAAACTGAAGTGAGCTCCTTTTTAAACTCCAGTGCCCTGATTTGCCAGCCTGTCTTAATTGATTCTGGCAGCTTCTTGATTGGCTGCAGGTGTCCTAATTAGCCTGCCTGCCTGAATTGTTTCCAGAAAGTTCCTGATTGTTCTGGAACCTTCCCTGTTACCTTACCCAGGGAAAAGGGACCTACTTAACCTGGGACTAATATATCTGCCTTCTATCACTCTCCTGTAGCCATTTGTCCTGATCCTTTCACAGAGGTGAATTGAAAAATATTATTTCTTTTATCATTTTTACAATGCAAATATTGGTAATAAAAATAATAATATAAAGTGTGCAGTGTACATTTTGTATTCTGTGTTGTAACTGAAATAAATATATTTGAAAATGTAGAAAAACATCCACAATATTTAATAAATTTCAATTGGTAGTCTGTTATTTAACATTGTGATTAAAAGTGCGATTAATCTCAATTAAATTTTTTAATCGCAATTAATTTCTTTAATTAAGTTGGGCTGTTGATTAATCACAGTTTAGTAAAAACCAAGTGTCTGCACTCAGCTTCTTTCCCTGCATTATTTTCCACCCTAGTGTCCCCACTCAAGGCTGAAATACAGGCATTAAAAGGTAGAGCAATTATATAACTAACTAAATACAAATGTGGATTAAGAAATGCCATCAAACACAAGCTGCTTTTTTTTTTTTTTTTTTTAAAAAGCTGAAGCTCTGCTCTGATGTACAGAGGTCAGACACCCATGCTGGTTTTATCAGTGTCCTTGGATATAATTCCTGTGTGGTGCTGCTGGATTGTCTGCAGGACCCGGTGGGATAGATGGGATTGCTGAAGGTTAACTCCATTTGCTCTTCACAAGGAGACCTCAGAAGGTTCTGAAGATTACTGCTCATCCTTCCTGAGGCTGTGCAATGCAAGGTCATCACACCAGGTGCTATTCTGTTGTCTCTCTTGTTCCCCATGTATCAGGGGCCACTAAGAGGGGACTGACATATTTCAGTCTGCAGTATCAGTGAACAGACTACTGTCAACTCTATTGCTTCTCTTAGATTCTGTTATCTTTGCATTTGGATGAAACCCAGATAGTTTAGGATCAATCCAGGCAATACAAAGGCAATGCTGGTAGACAGGAAAAAGCATATTGTAGAAATGATAGGGATAAATCTGCTCCTTATACTTTGGTATATCATCACAGACTCTTATCTGTTCTGACGACAATGGCCCACTGAATCTTTATGACTAATCATGGGGTTTGCAGTTCTCCATTCTAGTAAGGATTTTGCCCATTTATCCATGCCCTTGTCACCTCCAGGCTGATGAATGATATACAGTTTACTTTGCAATGTCTTTGAAGGCCACCTGGAAATGTTAGCTAGTACAAAATGTGGCCTTCCGCCTTTGCTATGGGAAGGCAATAGTGCACGCTGACTAGAAGCTCTTCAGCTCTAGAACTAGATTCCACTAGTAGATTCATCAAAGCCTACATCTAGCTCACATGATAGTGTGCTAGACTAGTTTTTTGCTTTTCCTCAGTCACAGGTTCTTAATCTACGTGGGCTTTCTGTGGCTGACAGTTGTCGGTAATGACAACACTCAGATCTGGAAGTGAAGCGCAGCGTTACAGGTGGCGAGCAGCCCTTGTCATGAAGGCTCTGATTTGCAACCCTCAGAATATTCTGCGGGAAGCTCAAAAGAGGAAGCAGTTGTATGTATTTCAATGCGGGAAGGATCACTCCAAATGGTAAATGTCACTATCACTGCATTACAAAAGAGCACTGATCAGCTTTGCACAATTGTCCAGAAAGGGGAAATGGAGTGAATCTTTAATTTCTCAAGTACGTAGTACGGCAAAACTGTCTGGGTGAGTCAGCAGATAAGTTACATGTCATGCAGCAGGCTACAGGCGGTGAGGTTTAAGTAAGGTCAGTAGACAAACAGGAGAGCTATTTAAAAGATGAATTCTTGACACAGGAGGTACTTTTGCAGACTGCCTCTCCGCATTCTCACAGTCCTGTGTCAACAGCTCTATTTTCCCTGCAGTTCTTTGATTCAGTTCTCTAGTAACAAACTGTCTGCTACGGTCCTATATGATCGCCATTCACCCTTTTAGTCTCCCTTAAAATATACATCGGAAATAGGCATATTGATAAATGTAGTAATATGTTTGGTTTGCTCTGGTAGGGGGTAGAGCACCGCTTGCTGGTTTGTGCCATTGCTGCAAAAAGCCAGTTCGAAACTCACTGAACGTGAACAATAGTTGTCCTCAATTTAACCTATGTAGAATGGTAATGCTAATGCTGGGCAGGTCTGCATCAGCAAGGAGAAAGGCTTCATTCTTTAAGAAGGAGAGAGAAAACCCAGCACAATTAATAAGCTTATAGTCAAATGCTCCTCTAGCGTATTCCCTTCATTTCCTCCACCCAGTGCTCTCCACACTGTCGGGCTGTACCATAGCCATGGCACGGAAGCAGAACTTTCTGTCTCACAAGGGTGTCAGAAGTGCCCCTTGGCTATAGCACAGAGTGCTGTTGCAGTCCTTTTCACAGTGGCTGGTGGATTTATAACCTCTAAGTTTCACTCATTCATTATTAACATTCTTTATAGAGGCTCACTTCTCTTTCCTAGCTTATTTGATCTGTCTTTTACTGTTAGTCAAATGGCAAGAAGATCCCTAAAGAAGAGACTATGCGGTAACTCCAAGGAACCTCCTGCGCCCACGAGTTAAGATGGAATTTTCTTAATGAACCAACATTTGCTATTTCAACCCTAGTATTCATATCTTTGATCCAGAGCAATAGTTTGTCCGTGTTTGTTTCAGCAAGTTCATGAGGATGGGTTTCTTGGGACTGGTCAGCCCAGATGTAAGTCCATGAAAATTAAAAACAAATGTGAGATACTCAAAGCCACATTCTACATATGTAATCATTGTAACAATTCCACGCTGGAGACTCCGAGTTTCAGCTCGCACATCGCAGCGTATGTGCCTTTTTGGTAAAAGATCTAACTTAGGGTCAAATTCTAAAGCTACTGAGTCAACAGTATTTGCCCTTAGGGCTGGTAGGTGGCCCTTAATGCAGCAGCTGCCATTCTGTTTTGTGGCTGTTTTCTATCCTATGCAAGGACAAACATGTCACTATCTTTTACCTTCCCTATACCCTTCAAACACTCCTGAAAGCCTGCATGCACATGAATGCAGGACACAGGAGAACAAGAACAACAAAACATGTAGTGCCCAAGCAATGGCAAATCACTGTCATTTTCCCTGTTTCATTTCTGTAGTTTGTTAAATACTCGAAATCACATATGTCAGTTGTTTTTTTAAGCAACCAAGAAAACCCAGCTGATGTGAACAACTAAATTCCTTCCTAAAATGAAAATAGTGCAGTTCCTCATTTTTTTCACGTTATCTGAAACCAGGCAAAACTAATGTGATTTCTGATTTTCATTCAAATCAAAAATTTGAGCCAGGTTCCATAACCTTCCGCAAACTGGACCAAATTTCCTAAGCATCATATTCATGCTTCTGGGTGGAAATCAGGTGGAACTTATTAACCTCATATGGCTCAGAGATGAAACTTGGCGAGTTCAGCAGACTTTAGTTTTTGAGCTAGTTCAAACTCAGGAGTGGTATGAATTCATCCAAAGCAAAACTGGAACCTCTGCATACCAAACCTACTGACCTTCAGCAAAACACTTCTCAACATGAACTGAACTGCCACTCGCATGCAGTCGGCCAGCCCTGCCTTTGCTTCTACTATTTATTCGCTGTTCCTAGGAAGCCTAGTGCAAGTTTGAGAGCTGGCTCAGAACAAGTTTGAATCCCCACTTCCCAAACCTACCCTTAAACTGAGGAAATTAGCTACCCGTAGACATTGCAGCCTGGTGCTCAAGGACACCCAGCATTAATAACACACACATCAGTCTACGGGAACTGAGGATGTTCAGTCCTTCTATTTATCTGTCTCTTTCCTAATAATTTCAACACACAGAGTATAGTATATTTGAAAGACAGGTGTCCTCCATCCCTAGGATGTTGCATGGCCCAGCCCATTTCCCAGTTACCATTCTCTGCCCAGTATTATCATTGTTGTCCCTAATGAACACACATCATCCTTCCTCCCTGTCACTCACCTGGTTCCTTCCATCAACTTGCTCCAATATTCCTGCCCATAAGTTAAATGGTGCTATGCTCCTCACCAGGCAAACTCTTTACATACGGTAAGGCAAGGCATACCAGGCTGTCAGACAACAGCTAAACCAGAGATAGCAAAGTGTCAAGGCAGCAGCAGTACAATACGTGCAAATCTGGAATCACAGAGCAAATTGAGCGTAGCCAGGCAAAAGTATTCACATCATTTACTTGTTCTGTTTTTCCCCCTAAGTGTTACCAAAAAACAATAGGGATCTTAATATCACTTACCTTCTGCCTGGATACTAAGATTAATTTCCGCAGCCTTTGTCCCATATGGGTAGGTAGCAAAGCTACACTCATACTGCCCACTGAGTGAGAGACTAACGTTACTCAGGTGTAGACTCCACTGATGGCATTCCACCTGGTTTGCTCTGGCATCATGGGAACTCCAAGTCTTGCTAACATCTACCCAGCAGTGGTGGGGAGTCTCACTGAAAGCCACTGAATAGTTATAATCAGTCTTAGAAAAAGGTAAGTATTTAATGCCATATATAGGGTGATATACAGCTATTCTACTGGGTGGCGTATCATCAATCTTTGACCATTGTGTTTGTGAGACATGGATCCCATCTCCGCTCAGAATGCTGCATTCCAGAGTCACATCACTGCCAGGGAAAGCATGGACTGCTTCTGTCTTTATAATGGTGCCTTCAAGCTCGCCTTAAAAAGAAACAGAAAACTGTCAAGTCAAGCAATGCTTATAAACAACCCCCTTTTAAATCTTCTTATCAACTCTGTTTGGTGCCTTCACTAGAAAGAGACACCTATATAAGAAGAAGCTGGGGCCAAAAATACAATAGTGCAATATTAAGTAGAGTGAGAAGGTTTAGCAGTTGACGGAAGTAGTAAATCATGAGTACAGATTCCAGAAAAGGAACTGGAGAAAAAAATAAGCAGTGGCTCAAGCAGCTTGAACAGGATGGGGAGCGCTCATCATACTACACAAAGAGAAAGGGGAGCTTTCAAGTGATATGTAAAGCAGAAGCCAGGACTGCTTATTCCACAGGTCTCTTTGCAAGAACCAAGAAGTAGTGAATCCTGCTTGCTAATTCTGTTTTGCGCAATTGCATTCTGCCTTTTTCAAGTACTCCTGCTGTTTCAATAGGAAAAGGTGTTCTTTTACATGGACCTTGCTAGACAGCTTCTGCATTCCACTGTGGAGGTTGTACTTCAATGTTGGAGCAAGCAGCTTCCTCATGTATGGTTTGTTTATCAGTTTGTTAATTTTCTGAGGCGCTTTGAGGTCCTTTGTGCACCATATAAATACAGAGCTAATGCATTTGTGAAAGGAAAAGAAGTTTTCAGCCTGTTTTTAAATAGTTGCTGCCACAGTGAAATTGACCTTTTCTCTTTCTTTTTCCTCCTGGGGGAAAAGAACTCTGTGATCTATCTCCACTGTCTCTGTTGAGTTCCAAGAGACATAGCATGCAGCATATTCGTATGCATGAAGTTCCCAGGTAGCTATCAACTGATGACGTTACACAGAGCAGTCCCCTACAGCAGAACTCCACTGAACCAAACAACAGTACCATACATTGATCACCGTTTTATCTGAAGTATTTGGCAGTCACAAGAAACTTTCAGAAAAAATGGATGTGTATGAGCACCCTCAGGCGTAGGGCTCACTCCCCCTTATCATTCTCTTTAGCCTCTCCCCATCTTTAAAGAACACCTTGAAAATTCTCACGATGCGTCCCTCCCCCCCTTCCCAAATGGTGTAGTTACAGTCAGAGCCAGAGATTTATGACATCTCTCTCCTAAGCTTTTTGTGCCTCCCCACACACTGCAGTCAACACCCTCAAGTCATTTTATTCATTATGAATTTTTAAAGGGAAATTGAAATTTGATTTTATGTTATATGTAACCATGTCAGGAACGGTCTAGATAATACTTAGTCCTGCCATGAGTGCAGGGGACTGGACTAGATGACCTCTCGAGGTCCCTTCCAGTCCTACGATTCTATGTTCTACAGTCCCCTAAATGCCTGTGCAGACCAAGGACATATAATGTAGCAGTGAACTCATTTGTCATTTATGCAGCACTAATAGTGCTCTAGGAACTATATTGACAGCTATAAAGCCAAGATGCAGGCCCTGAAGGGTTTACAGTCTAATACCCCAGTCCTTGTGGGCAGTTCTCTGAACCCACCAGCACCTCATTGCAGAAAAACTGGTTCTCAAATAACCAAAATATGAAACCAAGTGAATAGAGCATGAAAAGCAATGTGACTGAATAGTCAGGTTAAGTGTACTTATCTCCAGAATTTTAATACCCCTCCCTCCCATCATGTACATCCTTTACAGTAAAATAAAGGGGCATAAGGTGGACAAGTTAAGATTTAAGTGGAAGATTTGCCTAAATAAAAATCTCAGTACCTGTCCAGTATGATGACTGATCTAAGACCTCTACTTACTAAAGGCATCTGTTATATTCAAGAGGTAGCATCACTTAAGTAGTTTCCAGACAGATAACTCGCAACGAAAATTATTTTTAAAAGCACATATTAAGATCAAAGAGCCACATCAAGCAGGAATTTGGGATAAATATTTTAATACTTCAACTTTTTTTTAATTAATTGCTTAACAGCACCAAATTGATGGAGTCCATTTTATTTAAAAGTGTCCTGCAGCTCTCTCTTCTTGGCACTGGAATCTTGCCAATTGTTTTAAAAATTCCAATTTAACCCAACATTAAAAAAAAAAATAAGATGCCAGTACGTCCATACTTAACCCCTTTTCCTTCAAGATGTTCCACCCATTTAAAGTATCGTGCAGCATGGGCAACTCAGACACTTAAGTATAAAGTTGAAGGATTTTGTTGGCACCAGAATAAATCGGTATGCACTGGGCATGATTAAATTTAGGCTGGAAATTAAAAGAAACTTTCTAACTATCAGAGGAGGGAGGTTCTGGAACAGCCTTCCAATTGGAGTTTTGAGGGCAAACAACCTAAGAAGTTCTGAGAAGGAACTTGATAAATTTATGAATGGGATTATATGACAGGGCTGTCTGTAATACTAGGGGACTGGACTAAATGACCCACAAGGTCTCTTCCAGTTCTGTTTTCCTCAGTGGTCTGATTTTTATTAGGGCAGAACACCTGTAGCTGCAGAGAACTTTAATGGGAGTTTAGCCTGGATAAACAACAGCAGGATTTTGCCCTAACTTGTGTTTTGTTGAGATTTAATATGGACAACTGTTTCTCCGTGTGCAATATGGATTTTCATTAGTCATTTTACTTGGCTTTTTTTTATTTTTACCATCATCGATTTCTCTTACATAAGTAGGAAATTTCCCTGACCTGCTCCATCTATATGCAGCCATTAATAAACATAATCAGATACATCTTGCAGTTCCAATTAGGTACCTGGAACATCTTTATTTTTTGAATTGGAAATTGGACTCAAGCCACAACATTCATACGCACACTCGGCCCTGGATTTTAAGTACTCCAAACTTCAGGATGCACAAAAGAAGCATTGAGTTTCAAGCCCCACTCTAATTTTTAACAAGGCTGGTTTTGATTAAGCTCCCCTGATACAGACACAGTTGCTCTCCCTTCTCTAAAGTCTTATTCTAATATTCAAAATGCCTTGCTCTCGGGGTATATCTACATAGGTGTAATTCCCGGCTTGAGTAGAAATATGTATATTAGCTGTGCTTATCTAGCAGTCTAAGAAGAGCAATGTGGCTGCAGCAGTGTGGGTAGCAGCTCATGCTAAGTATGCAGCCAGGGGGTCCAGGTGGGACTGTACTCAGTCAGCTAACCTGAGCTGGTGTACTTGCTACCATGGTCACATGGCTCTTTTTGATGTGCTAGCTTGAACAGAGCTAGTGTGTGTCTGTCCGTCCGTGCTGGGAATCATACCTACCAGCTGCTGTAGAGACATATGCCCAGCAACAACCTTGTCTTGCAAGCCCGTAATACAGTGCACAGATGGGAAAAAATCTTTCCAGGATTTCCAAGCAGTCAGTATCACGGTTCTGCAATTAATGGTCACATTTCGGAGGGGAGGGGAAGAGGAAGTTAAAAACCCACATAGTTAGGAGGGAAGCTCATTTCTAAAACATATATTCTCCTAAAATGAGTGAGTTCTTTGCAATGAGAGAAACTGTGAAACTGGCTTACAACTTTGAAGAAGTTGGCTTGCTAGTCAGTACTTCTAGTTAACATTCAATAGTAGTAATTTGTATCTTACTGTAGCTATGAAAAAGTTGCCTTGAAACATAAAATCAATGTTAGTTTGATTTTTGCCTTAATGTGAAATTTAAAACAGGTTTTTTCCAAATTAAAGAAGCTCAGTCCATAAAACACTTACTTACCAGCAACATGATGTGTTAGGATGAACAAATACAATGCACAGGAAGGCCACCTTTTCTCCATCTTCATCGCTTGGTGTTACATTAACATTTCCGTAGTTGTCTTAGTGATTGCTGTAAATGAAGCCAAAACAGTCTGCTTTACGCAAACATGTCTGATCAACCCAGACACACCACTCCAGCACGGCTTCAGAGAAGGGCAACGTCAACAGGAAACTGAGGTTTTCACATCTGGTGTGGTAAAATTAGATCTTTACAGAAAAAAACCTTTAAAACCTTTCCGTAAAGATCATGGCTGATTTATTCAAAATATAAACCCTAAATGCTCTCTGAAAATCTATCTAAACTGTAAATTGAAAACCACATCTATTCTACAGCTCACATACAAAACCCAATGCATTGTCTCATTCTCTATACAAAACTCCAGAATGGACACAGTTATTAAGATAAATGTAAACTTCTTGAAAATAGCCTAAGCGTTTAAGAAGTGTGTATGATGTGCTGTATAGAGCAGGGGTGCATTGTAACTAACAGGAATGCAACTATTTGCTGTGCAGTGCACTCCTACATTTTTAAGAACCCATCAATGAACAGACAGGAATTTTGTTCTCAAAGTTAATTCAACCTGTCAGGCCCGACTGAGAGGAGCAAATTTTACTATTGATGAACACCTCTGTACTATAATGTTAATGGATTCCTCATGATGCGGAACACAGTTTGGACTCAGTGTAGACCAGAAAAACTCTGTTCAACATTATGTGAGCTAACAGCATCTGTGTTGCTAAAACCATTACTGTTACTACTGCTAACAACACAGTTGAAATCAATGGGACTACTCTAATCTGTAAAGATCACTCCTGTAAGTAAGGGCTTGCAAGATCAGGCCTTTGGAAAGCTCTTCATGGCAGAGACTCCATGTTTATTTGTTCTGGTAAGGTCCATATGCATCTACAGCACTACATTAAATATCGGTGAATCAATTTGTCCATTCTTCTGTGTTTTTTCCCTCACATGTGCCTCCAAAGTAGTTTGGTGTACAACCCACATGCTACATTCACTGGTCAGAGAATTAGTGCATTGGGGTATTTCCAGTTATATTGATCGTTTTGTTTTGTTTCCTGTTTAATTATTTACCACAGTATCACAAGCTGCAGAATTGTGGGTGAAAGTTCTAATTAGTATGGTAAACCCTGTGCAACTTATAATCATGCAGACTGAGTTTGCAGTGTTGTCAATTGTCAGCTTCTTGAAAGTTACAAATGTTGCACTTGGAACATACAGAGTGTGTAAATCCTGTCCCCATTTACACAGTGTCAAAGAAGCAGAAATCCCACAGGACTGTCCCATAGAGCATTTGTAAAGCCATAAACCAGATGTCCTGTTGCTGGTGAAGCACCCCATTACAACATGTTTTGGGTTTCTAGGAGCAGGCAGAGCATCCCTATTGTTTACTGCTTCCCTCACCAATTCACATTTCCCAGTCTGCTCAATCACATTTTGGTAAGGTCCATGCCTTTTATTACAGATGGGGACACTTGAGCTTTGTCTACACTAGACAAGTTTCCCACCAGTTTAACTAAATCTACTTAAACTCGTGCAAATCCCTAATATAGGTGCACTTAAGCTGTTATAACCCTTGTGCATAAACAATTTATTTTAAATTGGTAAATTACCAATGAAAAGAAATACAAATTTAGCAAGGTTCAAGCAGTTTAAATACATTTATATTAGGGTTTGCACTGGTTTAGCTAGATCAATGATACTAAGATTGAGGCTTGGGAGCTCAAGTGGCTCTTTAATGTGTCTCCTGTGGCTCTTTGTGGCACATGGTGTTAAAACACTGTGATTTAATTATTAACCAATATAAGATATTAACCATTCAGGATGCTTTTACTGTGTTATTAACCAATTGTAGAATACTTGGTCAGTCATTTTGTGGTGAGAATATTATATATATTTTCTCACTGGACAAAATGACACAGTTTTAATATCATGTGCTGTAATATATATAAAATAGTAAATGAAACAATGAATTCACACTACTGTGGCTCTTTTGGGTAATACTGATAGCTAATTTGGCTCCTGAACCACTGAGATCTGATACAGTATCCTTATGAAGGGACAAATTTCAAAACAGAAATGAGAAAAAAATATTCTAGCACTACCAGTTTCTCCTCCAGTAATTTTGTTCTTCCCCTTTCCTTGTGTGTTAGATTAATTGTTGACATTCTTTTTAATACATGTGGCTGTTCTTCATTAAAAAGAGTTTGGGTGTTTTTCCTGCTTGTTTTATGGTGTAAAAGCAAACTCTAAGCTGGACATCAGAGCTTGAGCTTCAGTCTTAGCCCAAATTAGTGGTCTTCAATGCAGATTCACAGAGACAGACTGACAACATGCTGGTTGCTTTGCACAGGGGGCCTAGTAAATAACTCAATATATGCTGAGGACCAGTGTCACTTTATTTTATGGCAATAGGGCTCTATTTTCACAAAAATAATTGAGCTGCACACTTACAGTCGGCAATTATTTATTTTATACACAATGGCTTTTTATATGCAGTTCAAGGTCTATTTTTTAGGAAGTTTAGTGCACTGGTAATGGTTTTTCAAACAGAATAAATTGGTTTTGAGGCTTTTCTTCTGCTCATCCTTGGATTACTTTTTCTAAAATGACAACAAAACAGCAAGACAGAAGCAGTTTGAGTACCCCTCACACAAAGGTAATATCTGACCCTATTACCAATCAGTGAAATTGTGCTCTAGATGAGCCAGAATCTGGCATCCCCATTCCTAAACATAGGCCATTGGGGGATAAATCTTTGCTTGTAACTCCAATGCCATCTCTTGTCCTCATTACTTTAAATCATGACCCCATCCTTAAGACAGTTGTGCTGCCAACATGGTAAATGTCATGGCTATGCTCGGAAGCAATGAGGTGCTGTATGACCAACAAGACATATTCAAACCAGAGTTTTCAGCAGTCATTTGGAAGAAGCAAAAATGCACACTCACGTGTGCACTCCCCAGTTTCCAACTCAGGGAACAGCGGCAACAGATAAACTGCTGACTTCTCAGCCAGCTGCAAAAACAAGATTCCAAGACAAATCAACTTAATTTCAAACTTCTGAGGGGGATCAGTGAATAGAGTTCTTCTATCTGTCCCTGCTGAGCAGTTCCCAGAACAAACTTTTGAACTACTGGGGGAAAGGCTTTTGTGTGACATGCCAGAAAAACCTCATATGAGAAGCTTTTATTGATCTAAAAAACATACATCACAATTTGAAAAGACAGCACAAGGACAGTATGTTGTAGGAAGCACCCACACAAAGGTCACCGAGCAGCTCTTAGTAGTCAGTAGGCCATTTGGCCTGACCTCAGAGTTTGCTCCTCAAATGAGAGATGGTCTGACAATGTTATGGTTTTATATTTAGTTTCATTGGTTGAGTGCCGTGACTCAGTATTCATGTTGTGGCTTGCTGATGTGCAAGCCATTTCTCCCCAACCTGCCTCCAGATATCACAAGTCTTTACTCTGAACACAACATCCCATCCACAGGAACAATAGATCAACATCAATAGGTAACAACTGCTAATGTAATCTACAATTATATCTGAGATGAAAAACTTGTCTCCATCTACTAGCTGTATCCCTACCACCAAGCGCTTCTTTGTAATACTCATGAACAGAGAGCAGGAAAACCATCCAAAACAACCACCACCTTTTAACAGAAGGGCTGTTTCCCCCAGGAGGGAGAACGCTCTGCCATCATATCATGTAACATTGTGAGAACCTGTAAACTTTCGCAAAGCTAAATAAGCCTAGGCTATCAGACTGAATAGAATGTTTCCGCAGAGGTGAAGGCTCAGTAGATGGTACATTGGAGATTGTCAGCAATGAATTTCTCCATTGGAGATGCAGCTCCATCGGTGCTAGCCATACACAGCAAGTGTCCTTGTGTAGCAGTCGAATTTTTTATCATTAAGCAGAATTTTACGTCTGCTTAAAATCAGCTCTAGAAGACCCAGTGGCAGGTCAGTGTACCTTAGTACCAAGCAGACTTTGAGCTGCACTGCTGGTAGTGCAAGGTTGAAAGATTAAGGAAAAGCCTGTGTAGATAAGGCTTGAGACAGTGGTTTTTTTTTTTTTTTTAAATGTGGGCAGCACAGCATGAGGGGGACTCTCCAGCAGTCTTTTGGAGAAGACTTAAGACAAACATACTGCAGCTGTTCATCATTAAAGATCCAACTTCTGTTTTTGTAAGAATAGGGATGTTAGCCCCAGTGCCTTGTCTAAATTCCAGCTAGGGAAATTACTTTCTGCTTCTTTGAATTCCTTCTGCAGTTCCACCTGGGTCTCCTAATTTTCTACAATCTTTGCCTCAAACTTAGTGTTGCCCTGTTTATGAATAGTTACTGCTTTCCACCACATAGGTGGGATCATTTCGATAGTGGTTGGACTGTATAATGTGCATTTCATTCTGTAAAGCACTTTATGTAAAAAGGTGTTCTATGAATGCAAAATATTTGTACTTTCAGGCACCCTCAGAATTCTCTTATGTGGATTTAGCATTTGTCCGACATTTTCTGAATGTAGGAGACCAATTATTATTTGCAGCCACTAGATGGCACTGACAATTCATATCGGTACATCACAACTCGAAAAACTCAAATTCATCTCATCCACTTTATGACAGTAAGTGTATCCAATTTTGGGGGGAGATGGCTGTAGGGGTCCTCTAATTATTTTCTGCAGAGGCATTCACCACCGAAGCAGGCATTTTGAATGATAAAAATAACTTTTTCCATGGAAGTCATGCCGGTCCCCTCCATTATACTTCATGTTCACAAAAAACCTCAATTGCAATAGAATTCTTCTCCCTCAATTACAAAAAGCAGCAACCAAGAAGAAAGAAGAACTGCAGTCGGTCCCACAGAAAAAGAAATCTTGAACTCTAGAGACAAATTCAATTATTCACAAAGAGAACCTTTTCAGAAATGCAGGGGCCTGAGCTAGTCCTGCTGGAGGCAAGGAATGATTACCCTTGCAAACTAGCGTCCTCTAAACACTGCTTAAAGAAAGCACTGCTCCCAGATGAAAAAGCAGTATATACTTTGAAGCAGGAATTTCATTAAAAAGTAAACTAACCTTTTAGGTTTCCTTGATGTTTAGCACCAATATTCCTACATTGCCACCCTGTTTTGGTTTTGAACTTCGTTGAAAATAGTAAAATCTACTGTTATCAGGCAACTTTCAACAAAGCAACTCACTGGGTTATGATTAAAGGGTGACTCAGGCCGTTTAGTCTACTGGCATAGGACACTGGGACGAGAGTGAAGAGACCTGGGTTCTATTCCTGTTTCTGCAACTGGCCTTCTGTGTGACCATAGGCCAGTGACTTTACTACTCTGTTTCCTCACCCAACCTTTTTGCATCTTGTCTATTTACAGTGTTATTTCTTCCGAATAAGGACTATTTCTCACATTCTGTGTGCAAATTGCCTAGCACAATGGGGCCTCTATTTCATCTGGAGACCTTTAAGAACCATCCTCATGCAGATAAAGTTAAAAGTCATCTTCATTTCAAAAATAATTTTTGCAACGGCAACTTTTGTTTTTGAAGCAGAATCATATTTAAAAATATATATTTATTTTTCACTCTTTTTATTACTATTATTTCTTTCAGATTGGATCATGAAAGCAGACTCACTTTTGCATATAATAATTTCCAGGCTGGCCTGCACAAGTTCAGTGCACTGGTTGCTGACACAGTAGGGTCAAGTTTTTGTTTTGTTTTGTTTTTTTGAATACTGTGTCTACTAGAATTAAAGACAAACCCTTATCCCAACATTTCATTTGGCCTTTAGTCCTGTAGAAGCTTTGAGGCCAAATTAACCTGACAATGTCCCTTTAATGAAGTCCTTATGTAGCTGGTAAATACTGTTTTCTCCACTGTAGAGATTGGGAAGCTGGCACAGAAGTGAATTGATTTGTCCTAGGTCCCAAATCAAGCAAAATAGCAATGCTAGGATTACAGCTCAGGAATCCTGATTCCCTGTCCTGTACTCTAACTGTTAGAAACACTGTAAGTTATCTTAGTGACTTCCTGGATTAAATAAGGGCCATTTTCAAGACATTACTAGAAAGTATGATCATTGTGGGAAAGATCCTTTCTGCAATGAATTAATCCGTTAGTCAGTTTGAGGCTTTACATTTCATGACATAGCAAAAAGGGGAACAGCAATGATGGTCAACAAATCAAAAGATGAGCTGTCTCTAGGGAATTCAAGCTATTAAGGAACTATATATTCAGCCTTCAGAGTGAAACACAAATGTCCAAGGATAATAAGTGAAAACAACTAGCTTTCTCACTCGCACCACAATCAGCTCTGGATCATCACCTTCTCCCCTGCCAGAACCAGCAGAAATCCCTAAACACTGGATTGCAGAGTACAGCTGACAGGAAAAGCAAATGCTATTTAAAACAAAAGAAAATACCCACAACCACCACCATGCACTAACAAAGAAAAACTACTATGACAGAGTCAGACAGAGGGTTCTTAGCAAATTAAGGACTGTAAAGAGCCATTATTTTCCAAGGCAAACTAGATGTCTGAAAGATTAACCCTGCCTGTTCGTTGCTGCTTCTGCTTCACCTGTGGCAGAACCGTGATGTTTCTTCTTGTTGCCCCTCCACCAGATACATGTGTTGACATGCACATTCCATTCCCTGACCACCCCCCCATCTAGAAGAAACATCAAATTAGAAGAACTCAGCCACATAAGATTGTTTGCAGTGTCGTTCTTGCAGCTGTGTTGGCCCCAGGATATTAGAGACACAAGGTGGGTGAGGTAATATCTTTTACAGAACCCGCTTCTGTTGGTGAATAAGCCAGCTTCCGAGCTACCCAGAGCTGAAAGAGAGCTCTGCGTAGCTCAAAAGCATGCCTCTTTCACCAACAGAAGCTGGTTCTGTAAAATATATGGTCTCCCACATAATATTGTGATACAGATGGCTATAAAAAGCTATTTGTTAGAAAAGGGTTAACCACTCATAATGTCAGTAAATACAGTCATGTTGAACGACAGACTCTTTTAGAGGGCAATACCCTGTATTTCCCACCACGTTCCATGTGAAAAGATTAAGTTTCTAGCATTTATGATTTTGAAGAAAAATCTTCAGATGGTCATTAAAAGCAGTTATTTCTGGCTGAGTCGGAAAATGTCTTGAAACAATAGTGCTAAGAGTGGTGTGGACTGCTTCTGTTCATTTCAGTGGGGAACTCAAGACCAATCTTGACATTTTAAATAATCACTATTTCACTGTTCATCAAAGCCCATAAAGAAGGATGATCATATCATGCATCTTTCTACAGTGAGTGGCATCTGTTTCAGCTATCTCAAAGGTGTGGAGCTTTGTTTGGGAGCAGAACTTGGGACAGTACCACTTTTCCCCCCTGATTCGATCCCTCGTCCTAGATTCTATTTCCATCTCTGCCATTGAGTTCTTTATGATTTACTCAGTGCCAACATCGTGTTATTGACCTACTGATATACCTTGGGTAAGTGACTGCATGCCACAGCTTCCCTGTTCTGATTTCCCCTCTTTCTTGCAATTGCTTAACCTTTGCAACATCACAATATTAGTAAAGTATTTTGAGATTTTTTATTTGAGAAGTTCCATTTCATCATCCTCTCCATTTTACAAATGAATAAGTTGAAGCACAGTAAGCTTACGGGATTTTCGAATGAAACATAGCAACTCAGTAGCAGATGCAGGATGGTTTCTAATTCCCAATTCCAAAATTTATCATAATTGTTTATGCAGAGGAGATTCCCTAAATCTTATTCCCATATGTTGAAGCCACATTCTGTCCCTTGAAAAAAAAATCACACCGTAAATTAACTTATCTCTTACGGTAATGGAATTTTAAAAAGGAGCATCTTGCAAGACCTTCCTTAAATGCAGTAAGCTGGAGAAATGCACTATGAGCAAGCACAGAACAAAATGACTATTTAAATATAATCCCACATTTTAATCACAAGCAAGGGGGAAAAATCTTATTGCTGAACTGAAATAAGTTGATTTGCTGTGAATCAGATTTTCAAAGGGACACACACGCGACAGGGGAAATGGAATACATGAGGCAAGGAGAGACAGCTGCAACAATTAAAAGTAATATTTTTCTCTTAAAATTGGGCAATTACACAGAGTCAATTTCTATAACAGATGTTACAACATGGTAAAGAGCTTATTAGGGAAAAACACACCACGGATTTACAAGGGACTAGTTTAAAAGCCCAACAGATTGGTCTGTAGGAGGAGTAGACCAGAATCTTTTGGGGCTAGCTTCACTGACATTAATGAATACACTAGAGGTGCATTTGGCCTGTGATGTTTAGTTTGAAAAGAGTTGATTGTGGTCATTTAGAATGCTAGAAAAGTATTTGGGCTGAAGATCAGTGGAACTGACCAGCTGCTCAGAACACAGGTATAATATTAGAAGTCTGATTTAATATCTTGTTCTACGAGCAAAGCTTGTGGCTAAACAGGAAATAAAACTCATCTATCCTTATTAGATTTGGGCTATAATCTCATGCCACTCAGATATTGGACTGAATTGCTTTCATACTGCTACCAGCGGCTTAAGGGAACAATGCAATTGTGGCACCAGACAACTCAGCAGTGGTACAGTTTAGTTGGACTCCAAAATAGACTGTGAATCTAAAGTATGCTCATGTTTAGTGGCTTGAACAACAGAAATATCAAGCAAAACCTGCATGAGAAACAGATAAGATAGACGAGTATTTTCATCAGTGATGATAAACAAAAGGAGCGTCATCTAGCTATGCTACAGTATCTATATTAAAACTGGGTGCAGCAAGTGTTGTATTTCTTCTTTTCCTCTCTGCTCCCTGTAGGCAGGCAGTGCTATTAAAGAAAACTAAGCCCAAAGCACACCAGCAACTGCTTTCCTTCTATATGTGTCAGCTAAATTCTCCTTTGACCTCAGTGTTGAATTAACGAATTTGAACCAAAAACCTGAGACTATCTTCTTCTACAGCTGTTCTGCATCGTTTGGCCTGATAAGACACTGAGACTCAAACTTGCCCATTTTATTTTTAGGCTGTTCCTTACAAAGGCAACATTTGCAATTCCATTTTTTAAAAATTATTTGTGTTATAGAGTAGCAAGTTGTGTTTTAGACTCAGGTAATATAACATCTTTGAGTCTGATGATGTAATTAACAAAAAAGATTTGACATGCCAGAATAAGGCACTGTCTCTTGAATAACCATAGGAGAACAGTAGGAATCCAGAAGTGTAGAGCAGAAGTCAACAGAGGCTGTCTAAGGGAGTTGTGCACCCAACTCCACTAGGCTCCTGTGAATATCCCCGCCAGAGCAAACATGTAGAGAGGCCAGGGGGTATATCGAGGTTCACACATACCCTTTAAACCAAAAATCCTACTTAACAGCTTCCCACCCTATGCATCTCCTGAGCTGTGACACCAGAAGGCAATACAAGTAACATGTTTTTATGGAAAAAAATCAGATAAATCTAATCTGGAACCACCAGCACTAATCTTCATTTCTGTAATTTAGGGAGAGTATGTTGCATTCTTCATATGCAGCAAATGTTGAATCCTTGCTTAAAACACAAAATTCAACCTTAACTATACAGCTGTGGCTCATGTCTCCATAATATGCCACCTGCAGAAAGTAATAAGGGCCCTGTGAGGAAAAGGAATCTGATATCCCAAAGCAGACTGTGGACAATAAGTAATAGAAGTGCTTGACTAATTATTCCATGACTAATATGATTTGTAAACTATAACCTGAATATAAAGATAAACCTTCTGGACTTCTCCTTTTTGGGTGAGCAGCTAGCTAGCCCAGAAAGTTTGAGGAAATTCACCCCTCGTAAGACTTTACCGTTACCATATTGTTTCCCACTTATATGTGAGTTGAAGCAGTGGGGCTACTCAAGTAAGGAACTCCCCTTCCAAGTCTTGGACACACTAAAATGGCCAATAGTCCGTGCAGATTCACATATGCTACCTTCACACCTTTAAATCCTAATCTAGACAAGACCTTAGAGAACCAATAACATGGTTCTCAGAAAAGCATTCTTGTCTACCCTGGGTGAGGGGCATTTTCTTGTTAATGCCATGCTAATCACATTAACACATCAAAGAATCCTTGTGGCACCTTAGAGACTAACCCATTTATTTGGGCATAAGCTTTTCTGGGCTATAACCCACTTCATCAGACGCATGGAGTGGAAAATACAGTAGGCAGGTATAAAAATACAGCACATGAAAAGATGGGAGTTGCCTTGCCACGTGGGTGATCAGTACTAATGAGGCCAATTCAATCAGGGTGGAAGTGGCCCATTCCCCTCAGTAGACAAGAATATCAACAGAGCGAGAATTATTTTTTGTAGTGACCCAGCCATTCCCAGTCTTTATTCAGGCCTAATTTGATGGTGTCAAGTTTGCAAATTAATTCCAGTTCTGCAGTTTCTCGTTGAAGTCTGTTTTTCAAGTTTTTTTTTTTGTTAAAGAATGGTAACTTTTAAGTCTGTTATTAAGTGTCAAGGGAGATTGAAGTGCTCTCCTACTGGTTTTTGAATGTTACAATTCTTGATGTCTGATTTGTGTCCATTTATTCTTTTGCGTACAGACTGTCCAGTTTGGCCAATGTACATGGCTGAGGGGCATTACTGGCACATGATGGCATATATCACATTGGTAGATGTGCAGGTGAACAAGCCCCTGATGATGTGGCTGATGTGGTTAGGTCCTATGATGGTGTCCCTTGAATAGATATGCGGACAGAGTTGGCAATGGGGTTTGTTGCAGGGTTTGGTTCCTAGGTTAGTATTTCTGTTGTGTGGTGTGTAGTTGCTGGTGAGTATTTGCTTCAGGTTGCGGAGCTGTCTGAAGCAAGAACTGGCCTGTGTCCCAGGGTCTCTGAGAGTGAGGGATCATCCTTCAGGATAGGTTGTAGATCCTTGATGATGCGCTGGAGAGGTTTTAGTTGAGGGCTAAAGGTGATGGCTAGCGGCGTTCTGTTACGTTCTTTGTTGGACCTGTTCTGTAGTAGGTGATTTCTGGGTACCCTTCTGGCTCTGTCAATCTGTTTCTTCACTTCCCAGGTGGGTATTGTAGTTTTAAGAACACTTGATAGGGGTACCGTAAGTGTGTGTCTCTGTCTGAGGGATTGGAGCAAATGCAGTTGTATCTTAAGGTATGGCTGTAGACAATGGATCATGTGATGTGGTCTGGATGAAAACTGGATGCATGTAGGTAAGTATAGCGGTCAGTAGGTTTCTGGTATAGAGTGGTGTTTATGAGACCATCACTTATTTCCACGATAGTGTCCAGGAAGTGAATCTCTTTTGTGGACTGGTCCAGGCTGTCACTAAAACATGGCTGTCACTAGTGATTTCCAATGGAGTGTGGACAAGGTCTAAAGTTCGGCGATTTATTTGCTAGAATTTTAGCAAGCAGGATTTAGCATTGCACATTCAAACACAAGAAAGGAGTTTTGTCTGGATACAAAACAGGGTTCTCAAGACCAATGCCAGCACCATCTGACCTGCCATGTCTTTGGGAAGCAGTCAAGTTCTGTCTTGCGGTGGGAGAGGATGTAGGTATTTCCTTTCAAGAGACCAAAATCAATTGATCTTTCCTTGGTGGTGCTGGAACAGAAGACCAGGACTCTCAAGGCAGATTATAAACACAACTCCCTCAATTCACTTACTCAGGATCTGCTAGAGATGGTTAGAGCCTCATTAAGTCAATTAATATAGATGGTCAAAGTGCATATTTTGTATGACGAAGATTATTATTATCATCAGCAAAGCAGTAAACGAAGGGATCAGCTGAGGACCTATAGCTTCTGTGACCAGAGAAAAGGCCAGACTGTCCCTTGCATTTCCACGTGTAGAGGGAAAGCTGGGTAGAGTCTGAGGGTGGCAAAAGGGGTGCAAGTGGCAACGTTAGGGTCTCATTTTGCTGCTCATAGGTCCATGAGGGGGCCAGGGCCGATCTCCACAGCATAGTTGCCTTAGCAATGATGCAAGAATTATGCAGCGTAAAACTACTGCCAGTATTATCTTACTTTGGTGGCCCTTCACAAAGCAAAACTCACCCTGAGGGGGATGCCTGAGGGCAGCAAAGAGCTGGGATTGCAAGGGAACATGCTTCTTGTGGCAGCCCTGCTGTCACACAAAAGAGGGGCTGAGAGTTATGTGGAGACACTGGATCTTCACATCAATGGCTCTGGTTTTTGTGGACATCATGAGAGCCATGGCTTCAGGGGCCAGCCCCCCTACCTGTTCCGTAGGAAGGACAACTCCCCCTACCCTCCAATAGTTTAGTTTAGAAAAGTGTCTTATATCAGTCTCCTGCCACATATCTCAGTCAGTCCTCCCTAACCTGCATTTCAGAGATGTCAATCATGGATGCATCTCTTCAGGCTTTATGGCTCCTTTGCCTGTCACAAGAGCCCATTCCCCGCTTTAGAGTTGGGGGAGCTGATGAATATGCTCAAAA